TGGAGATAGGTGATTTCTTATGTCTGTCCTAGATAGCAACACTATGCTTGATCTATTTACAGAAAGTAGTAACCATTTCTTTTTATACAAGTATTGGCTCACTTTCTCTAGTTGAAATTAATTTCTTTGGCCCGAGGTTTGGGCTTGTCTACATCCTACCTATTCCTTTTCTTTTCTTTTTCTTTTCTTCCCTTTTTTTATTTGGATTCTTTTTTTTGGAGGGTTGGAGGGAGGGGTCCATCCTACCTATTCTTACTTATGCACATAAGAAGGGCATGCTCAGACGCACATTTTAAGGTCGCTCACATACTAAATGCATGTTCAATTTGTTCTAGACTATAACTCACTAGGCCCTTTGTTTGTTACGCATACAATGGTGGATACATATGTGATATCCAACATGTATTCCCAAAATAATAACTTGAACTTTACAAGGCTTATTATATATACTACAAATATTATTATTCTTCATCCTAAAAAGCAATATTTCTGAAATAGAGAATTCCTATGATTAACCTCACTAGATTTCAAGATCTTTAAAGTAGAATTTAACCTCACTAGCTTTCAACATCTTTAAAACCTATCAACAGAGTTGATCTTATTTATAGATCAGGCTAAACGGAGAACTGGAATAATCACAAAGATGATAAACACGCATCAGATGCTCTCGGTAGATACTAATAAAACCAAAGTAACTTATCACCATCACTGTCAGAATGACAAACTACAGTTTCGCAAGCATGAGAGCTAGTTTCAAATTTACAACTTCATCCCCTCAAAATAATAAGCTCTGCACCTTCAAGCCTCTCCTTCATAAGGTCATCCGACAATGAGCTAAAGCTAATGGTTAAAGCTACAGATTGCATACTACTATCACTACACTAGCTAAATATAATCTTCTTCTTTTTTTGGGTGAAACAATCAGCAAACCCAGCTGATGCTTTCATATAGTCCGTGATAAGCATAGAACAGCTCGTGCAATATAATCAATAAGTAAATTTACCAAGGGATTACAAACTTACAATCGATTCACAACCTTTAGATCTAACATCACAAAAACCCTAACTCAAAATCACCAAAGATCGTCGCTTTTTACATGAAACTTTCTAGCCTAACCTAATTCAAGAAGAATCTCTATTACCCATTCGAAAATACCACCTCCCAATTCACAAAGCGAAGCAAGTTCCAAACTTTCCAATAAATCTAACCATAAAAAAAAGGATGCTCACCTTCATCAATTTCGAACTCCTCGAACTCGTCGTCATCCTCAAAAAGGTCCATCTTCGCGTCCTCGGTCGCCGTCGGCTTCGTCTCCGTCGCCATCAGATCAGAGCAAAGAACGAATCTGCAAGAACTAGCGGTTTTATGAGAGAGAGGAAGAAAAAGAGAGAGGGGGCACTCGCGTGATTTATAGGGCACGGGCCTTTTCTCCTCAATTTCGGGTATCGGATCCGACCCGAATAAAACCCGTTTACGGATTTTGTCTCAGGTTTTGTGTGGACGAGCCTCGAGCGAAATAGGAAAGCAAAAGATGAGCAGCAGGGGGGAGATAGAGAGGGGAAGAGGGTTCTAGAAGCTTCTAGAAGGCCATGGCTTCTCTTCTCAGCTCTCAAACACCTGTTGCCTTCTCCGGGTAAGAATCAGATTTCTCCATTTTATTTCTCTTTTTTTTTTCAGTTTGTCATGCGATAAGAACAACATGAATGTGCTTGAGTTTATTTGATTCTATTTACTGTAAATTTAGGCTGAAATTTGCTGCAGATGAATTTGCATATTATTAGCTTGCTAATGACTGTGATAATTAATGATGAATTATTCTTTTCTGATGTTTTAAGNGTATTGTCACGTCCCGGGCTCACGGGCCCGTTGGCGCATGCAAGCCGTGGGTCCACGGAGAGCAACTCGTGGGTTGGCTAAATCCACCACCAAAATGCTAGCACTAGTTGTTCTTGGGCCTTGAGCTTCTCTATTTAAATCACTAACATTTCTTTACACTAGTCCATGTGAGACTAAAGTGTGTGTGTCACAGGTATTTTGAGCTTCCTCCTTGCGTATATCAATCACAAATAGATGGATGTTGAGAAGTTGTTCGATTGTAAAATATGTTTCCATGAATTTTACTGATACTGCTTGTAGACTTATGATAAGTTTATTTCATAATTTTTTTAATATCCAAGATAGCTGTTCATCTTCTCAGCCTCAGCAAGAGAGAACATGTTTTTCCAAGTGACAGAGCTGTAAAATGTTCTCTGCATGAGACCACAACCAGGACTCCAGCTATTACAAGGCATCTCCTCCCTTGCCTTGCTGCTTCAGTAATTTTTGCTGCATCACCAAACCAGGTAGAAGGAAAATCTTCTCTGCTCTTTTTCCGTATTAACTCGGCTTCCTAAGTGTTTATTCTGGCAGGTTATTGCCGGAGAAATTTACAGTCGCCAAAGCTTATGGCAGATTGCATCCGCCACAGAGAAAGGCGCCGTTTTGAAATTCGACGATAGCACATCAGATGAACGAGGTGGGACAATGCTGATGATGAGAGGCATGACCGCGAAGAATTTTGATCCGGTGAGATATTCTGGGAGATGGTTTGAAGTCGCTTCGCTCAAGCGTGGATTTGCTGGGCAAGGACAAGAGGACTGCCATTGTACGCAGGTAAGCTGATTGCTCGACTACCTGGTCAAAATCAAGAGTATAATTTTTCTGTATGGATCTTAAATATTTATCCGTTTTTTTATTTTAGTAGTTACCTGTATCTGATCATCGATAACCCGACTACGAACATACTTTAGCTCTTCTTATAAACTAAACAACTTGGAATAATATCAAATAAGAGGAGGACCCTCTGAATAAAATTTTCTTTTTTGAATTAGTAAAATTTGTACATCACAAATTTGAACCTCATTTAGATATTACACATTCCATCCATTTTAATTAGGGTTATTTGCATGCACTCCCTCTGTACTATGAGAGTGGACTGTGTAGCTACTTACTTTTTATGTTCTATTTTATTAGCACATACACCTCTGATCCCATGACCGTGTGATTTTTCCGTTGGTTTAAAACTCTCATGGAAGTCACGTGAGTATTAGAGGAAAAATTCGTCAAGGACCCAAAATATGGGACCAATAGGGGGGACAAGTGAGGTGCCCCGTCCTATTGGATAATGAGTTGGCCATCATTAATGATGGCCAGCTCATTATCCAATAGGAGGGGGACACCTCACTTGTCTTAATGATGGCCAGCTCATTATCCAATAGGAGGGGGACACCTCACTTGTCCCCCTTATTGGTCTCATATTTTGGGTCCCTGTAGCTATTTCTACCTAAGCTTAAAAACCGATCAGGAGGTGTGTGCACTAATAAAATAGAACATGTATAATTAGTTTCACCCGCATAGTCTAAGGAATTATGATGAGACTGGAAATGATCCATTACCTTCACATATACTTCCCGGAAATTTTCAGGGCATTTATACGTTCGATGCTAACACCCCATCGATCCAAGTTGATACATTTTGCATTCACGGTGGCCCTGATGGTTATATCACCGGCATAAGAGGAAATGTCCAGTGTCTTTCGGAGGAGGAGAAGAACAAAGCTGAAACTGATCTTGAGATGCAAGAGATGATCAGAGAGAAATGTTACCTTCGCTTTCCAACATTGCCTTTCATACCCAAGGAGCCCTATGATGTGATTGCCACTGATTACGACAACTTTGCTCTTGTCTCTGGAGCTAAAGATCGGAGCTTTGTTCAGGTATATAATTTTGTTCTTTAGCATCTAAAATAAAGTTTATAGCAAATCCAGTAAATGTTTTGGAGATGCAGATGTGACATTTTATTGGATGCAGAACTAATTAGTTATATGAGGCCTATGTACCAAATATGGTAATACACGACGTGGCATGTTTTAGGTTTTATGAACTGTTTTTTTTTTATCAAGACATAAATTCGGTTTTCATATGGTATATATAGAAGCTTCAATTGCTTTTCAGGCGATTGCCAAGATTTTGCAAACGCAATAGAGGTAGTAGAATCAAAAGGAAAATATTGCAGAAGTTGAGCTCCATTAGTCTAGTTGGTCTGGTCCTTCCATTGAAACGGAAGAGAGAACATACATTTATCAGCAACAATTTCACTCGGGGGTCTATCTGCAATTGGGCAGTAGTATAGGGGGGTCAATCTGCAGTTAACCCTTATTCGTATTCTCCCTAACCACCAAGCATTCCTGGAAACAGATTTACTCAAGAACACCAGACCCAGGACCAGCCTTCATCGAAAGATGCAAGTCATACTTAGCAAATTATGGGTACGACCCGAGCCAGATCAAAGACACACCACAAGATTGCGAGGTGATGTCCAACAGTCAGCTAGCATTGATGATGTCTCGGTCTGGAATGCAGCAAGCTCTCACAAATCAGTTCCCTGATCTTGGGCTCAAAGCTTCGGTGGAGTTCAACCCGTTCAGTAACGTATTTGACACATTTAAAAAGCTTATCCAACTCTACTTCAAGTAGAGCTCAAAGGCGAGGTAAATCCGTATATCGTTGTTTTTAATTCGTAGATTCTAGTTTAAGTACATGTGTTCTCTGTTTTTTCTGTTGTCAATGTGTAAGGAATTGTGAATGACCCTGTGTGCAATTTGATATGTTCAAAACAAGATAATCGGTCCTCGACGAACTCAGTGTGAACGACTGTTTCATTCTTTTGTAAGCCAATATAGAAAATGTTATATTTAGAGATTAATTGGTTGGCCCCATCTGCAACATTTGCAACTTCTATTGCTGAAACTGGAATCGTTTGGACGAGTTTGTATTTGTTTTTTCGTTGTAACTATTAGATGGCGCCGTTGCACTGCATTTGTAAAAAGTTCTCCAGATGCAGTCGACGACTTGCCAAATTTTGGATATAAATCTCCATAAAGGCATAAGTTCTACCGAAAAAAAAACCAATACCCCAACCAAACACATGCAATTACCCATCGAAAAATTTTAAAACTGAGCGAACAACCGCACACTACGACAACAATTGCAGCAATGCAATTGCACACAACTTACATTTGCATCGCAATTACAATCGCACCGAACCAAACGGTCGTTTATTGTGATTTAGATTTTTATGAATACCTCGATTGCTTTGTGTTTCATGAGCATCATTGCCCTTGCTTAGTTATTCCCCTTTATTATAAATGTTTCTGTTCAAATTGACTGAAAAATCGAAATGCTATATTCCGAACACGAGCTAATCTGCAAAAGACTTACTATTTGCAACTGAATCTGAACCACACACTAACTGCATGTAGCCACTAAATTAATTTACATCGGGCAAAAAAAAAAAAACCATTAATGATCAAAGACTACCCCTAACAATATCAAAGAGCACAATCTGAAAAATAAAACCAGAGGCTGATGAAGTTCTGACCCGCTAGCTTCTCAATCTGACCCAATCCTATCACCTGCTTGTCTGCAATCAAATCGAATTTAACGGTCGGTAAAATTATTTAAAAGCATCAATTGCGCCATTGGGGTTCCAAAAAAAAAAAAGATTATAATTCCCACTTATTTTAATGATGATTATTTTTGGAATGAATCATATACACAATGGTATAAATAAGCACACTGTTATAATTTGAGAAATACAATATAACATTGAAATATATAACAAATGTAAGAGGCAAAAGCATGTAATGAAAGTAAAAAAGAGATTGAAAAAATACAAGGAAAAAAAATGTATAATAGAGAAAAAATAGAAGGCACCCAAATTATGAAATCAATTAATTTTCCCAAACACCAAACTTTCATCCAGATCTCCCCATACCACTAGATCATCAAAACTTACAATTTAAAATAAAAATTAAAAAAAAAAAAAAAAAAAAAAACCAAAACAATATATACACTCACCTGATCAGCGTCACTCCCATCCGATGAAAAAGCGGTCGGCATGGGCCCCACCTTGGGCCGGGCCACCGAGCTCCGGGCCCACCCAGGGCCGTTTCTAACGAAATTCTTAATCGTGCTGCTGCAAGATTTGGGCTTTGATTGAGATTTTGGCTCCAACAAGATCGATGGAGACGATGGGAACGTGTAGAAGTGGAAAGAGCAGGGGATCGACGCCATTTTTTTGAAAAATCAATTCAATTGATTTTGATTTTGATTAGAGAAGGAGATTTGAGGGGAGACCTTTGAAGAATTTGGATTAGAAAAAAAAGAAGAGATTTTTATTGGCCCTTTATATACGGTAGTCGTTAGGAGTTACTCTTTTCCATATAAGTCCTTTTCCAATTGGGATTTACGCCTTGAAAATTTAATTGATTGGGGTTTACTTTTTTGGTCTGTTGACCCGTTGAAGTTACAGAAATAGCCTTGCTGAGGATAGATGCATGATTTATTTTTCCATTTTTCTTTGAAGGGCCTACATTAATTGAACGTTGCATATTTGATGTAGATTCTATGATTTATGGCTAATTATTAAGTTACTTTATAAAAACATTACTTTCTAGAATAGTTTATAGAATCTTATTGGCAGCCTTTTCGCTCAAACTTAAAACCGTCAAATAATTGTGACATATTTGCTTGTTCTCGTTTTTTTTTAATTAATCCAATTATCAATTTAGCTTAGAATTAGATGCCGTGTATGTAAATTGTCCGCTTTAGCAATCCCAAAAGAATATGTATTTTGTTGAAAAACTAAAGTGCAACTTTGGCTAGTAGAATATGTAACGGAGACTAATGAGCATATTTAGTCATTCTCCGAATTCACGGAGGTCCAAAAGTGCGAAAAAATTTAATAAATAAATAAATTGTCCAAAATCTGCAAATCTTACGAAAGTTGGGGGCATTCTTGCTACTTCTCCTTTATCCTCTCATCCATTTGTGGATAAAATATTCTAGCGGCTGGATTTCCGAATCTGGGTGCTCCAAATTTAACCATCATGATGACCATCATCATCTTCGACTAAACGTCAAACCATCGTTATCTGATGACGTGTCAGAACATTACTGGAAGCATCCAGGGGACCCACTAATATGGGCTTATAGTGTGGAGACACGTGTGCAAGAATCCTGTTTGATGCTGTGATCAGAAACAGCTGATCCGAGAGAATTGCGCTCCGTTGTGGTTTTGGTTATTAACAGTAAGATGTGGATAATGATATGGATTAATTTAAGTTGTTAACAGCTTAAAATAGATTGTTCTCTCTTTTTCTTTCTTTTTTTTTTCCCCTCTTTTGACCAGGGAATTTCCCCATGATCCCTGGAATAAGTATCAAACTTCCGGCATGACTAAGGGGCACCCCTCAATGCACCGTCTCAGATATTCTAGAAAATTAAATTTCTGTGGATGTTCCCCAGGAGGGTCGATGGTGAGACCCTGGAATACTACTTATCTGTAGCTGACCAACTTGGCTAGACCATCTTGGATATTGTGGTGTTTAGTTAGTTGCAGCTTAGCCTATTTGACCGTGATATGACCATAAATGGGTATTGGTTTTTTAATACCGTCACTATACGGAGTTGTGCAAACTTTGATCGAAGCGGACTGAGGGCTTTGTTGACCAATTTTTATCCCTTCCTTTTGTTATGAAATGTGCACGAATATGATATGCATCAAGGTCGTCTTTGAGATACCTGCATTTATGTACATCACGTAGCGACACGCATCCTAAAACAAATCCAAGGGCTAAAAATGTTGCTGGACAGAGTTCACTTCACTTAAGTTTATAGGAGCTTTCACAAATCATTGGCCTGCACAATCTAAAATATCATTTGTTATCCGTGATTAAACCTGATTTTGATCTAAACCAGAAATCATTGGCTGCACATCACTACTACCAACATTAACAAAGCTTTTACTCTGATTAAGCCAGATCTTAGTTTTTCTTCATATATCTCAAGACTAATACTTAATTATAGGTTAAGAAGCAATCTGACTCAAAAGCATATTGCTTCATAAAAATACTTCAATGTTAATGCTGTTAATTTAACGCATAGTATATATATTCATGTCTTACAAGTAATGCTTGATTATGTAACTTCTAATTCCTGACTGTACTCTCTTCGTGCATGTTTTCATGTGCACAACTGCATTGTAAACCTGCAGCCCATACAAATATCAGGGTGGTAATATAAAATCTTTTTAAACTCAACTGCTCCAAAATTTTCAGGTCTGACTGACGTTTAATATGAATGAAACCTGCACAATCCCAAACCAAATTCCTGAAAACAAAAGAAGCAACTTCTAACAATCAAATTAGCCGAGTACAACACTTCATTAAAACAATCAATCCATCAATTTACGATTTGATTACAAATGATCCGAATCTTCAAGTCCCTTATATCCTTTTTTCTCCTCCTCCATCCTCATCATCATTTCCCTTGTCATCAGTACTAGGCCTTTTGCTCAAGTCTTTAGAGCTCTCCTGTATCTTATTGTTCTTTGATAAGTACTGGAGAGCAGTAACAACATCGCTGATCAATGGACGAGTGCTTGCTTCTTCTTGAAGACACATTGCTGCAACTGCAAGAGCTTGGTATAGAGCTTTTGTGGGGAAATTTCCTTCGAGCAAGGGATCAGCCATTTCTATGAATCTCTTCTTATCTCTGAACAGTGGTTCTGCCTGTAAATAGTTTTTTGTAATCCAAAATTATCAAATATGGAGTTAATGTATAAATGTTTCAGATTTATGAGGATTGACATGCATAAATGGCTAAGAACTCTATGTTCAGGAGTATATTAGAGAAGCCAAGAGATGACAAATGTGAAACGATAAAGTTCTTTCTTGTGTTCGTATCCACAACAAAGTCAGATATATGCTCAATGTATTTAGGGTAAATTTCACAAAGCACCCTCCACCCTTTAAGTTTGGCTGATTTTGAGATAACCCCCTAACCTTTAAGATGTCACATAACCACCTGTAAGTTAATTTGGGGTGCTTTAGAAACCAATGTTTTCAATTTTTTCAACTCACCACCCTAATGGTCTTTAGACTAACTGGCAAAAAGACCAAAATACTCTTTTCAAATTAACACTGGACCAAACATGGACCAATTAAGGGGGGTTTTGTGAAAATTTGCTTCAAAATTATTTAAAAAGAACATGAAAGGGTTTTTGCTATCAGGAGCATTTTGGTCATTTGCATGATTTTCATGTGCACAGTTAGACTAACGGTTCTCCTTAGGGGCAATCTGATATTTCTATATTTAGGGGGTTATCTCAAGTTGGCCAATCTTAAGGGGGTTTTGTGAAATTTACCCATGGTTTTACTATCATGCGCTAAGCTTATTAGAGTCTGTGAAAATATGAACGTTTTGCAAATTTAACATACCCAATGAATAAGATGCTGCTCATTTGAAGGCCTTGAAGTATCAACAGCTCTCCTCCCTGTAATTATCTCCAAGAACACAACCCCGAAGCTATACACATCAGACATCTTCGTCAATTTACCTGTCAGAACATACTCCGGTGCACAATATCCATACGTGCCCATAACCCGTGTCGATACATGACATTTATCTCCACTGGGACCCACCTTAGCTAGCCCAAAATCAGATAGCCTCGACTCGAAATTCTCGTCAAGAAGTATGTTTGACGCTTTGAAATCGCGATATATCACTGGTGGATTGGCTACATCATGTAGATATTCGAGGCCTTTTGCTGCGCCTATTGCTATTTTTATTCTTGTGGTCCAATCTAAAGGTTTCTTATTTGGTGGGAGGTCTGCAAAGAAAAAAAATTTGATGAATTTGATCATTATCTTAGATAAATGATTGATCGAAGCTTTCATTCTTAATAAGACCCGTAATTTACTTACACTTATTTTTGCGAGTCCTTTAATATTGCTTACAGAAAAGAACAATGAAGAGTTGAATGATTCTTAGAATCATATAGATTTATTGGATGAAAGAAAGGCCAAAAACATAAACTTTGAATGAAACAATGTACATTGACATGACTCTAGGAAACTTATAGTATTGTGTGATTAAAGAAATGCCTGAAAACATAAATTTTGAATGAAAACGTACAACTCTACGTCGAATTTACTTCCAGTTCTGTGAGTCCCAGAATGCTTGTAAGAAAACAATGTAGACTGACATGATTCTTGGAATTTTATAGCATTATGTGATCAAATAAAACCCTAAAACATAAATTTAGAATGAAAACACACTGATACAACCTTAATCAATAATCTATGGTGGCTTACCAAGAAGCTGAATTTTTCAGGCACTATTATGTATCCGATACTACTAGCAGAAAACAATGTAAACAGAGATGATTCGTATAGCTTTATGTGATCAAATAAATATTTGAAAACATAATTTTTGAATGAAAACGTACTGATAAATTTTTGAATGAAAACGTACTGATACAACCTTAAGTTAACTCTTAATTGCTTACCAAGGAGGTGATCCTCTAAAGAACCATTCTTCATATACTCATAGACAAGAAGTCTCTGTCCATTTTCAGCACAATATCCAATCAAGTTAACTAGATTCTCATGATGAAGTAGATTCAGCATCAAAACTTCAACTAGAAACTCTCGGTTTCCTTGTAAACCATTTTTATCGAGTTGTTTCACTGCAATTTCCTGTGAAAAATGAACTAACTATCGTTTGCTGATATCTGAATTAAACCAGGAAACTAATTAAAATAAGAAAGGGGATTACTTGTTTTTTCTCAGCAAGGTATCCTTTGTATACTCTTCCGAAGCCTCCTTCACCTATTAGATTCTCCTCTTTGAAATCATCGGTTGCTTTCATTAGTTCAGCATATTTGAAAACTCTGGCCTCATTAGTATTCTTGTTTTCTATCTGTAAAATCTCGTCAGCTACTGTCCGGTGCTTGGTAGTCGCTGTACATGTCAAAAACTTGTTAAATTTTGGAGATGATATTATTTGATTACTTTTAGATTGACTGATTTATGAAATTACATTTTTTTAAAGCATCACTGATATGTATCTTTTCTATACAAGTCACAAAAATCTTTATGTCGAACTGTTGGTTGGTGATATGCCTTCTGTTTTTTCTCATAGATTTGACTTGTTGAGTTAAGCAATGGTTGTACAAAACTTTTAAATGTGCAGTTACTTAATGAATTGGTTTAAAACTTCGATTGTGATATCTCAATGTTGTATTTGGTGTTTATGTTTGATTTCTTATGCATTATGCATTGTTTTCAGATGTTGAATAATAAAGTTCATAGATTACATTACATTGTGGTAAAATCTGACAATATTTCATATTATATATGATAATTCAGGCTTAAGAAAAAATCATCTCAAGAAAATGGAATTGTTATTGAATATTAGTGACCCAATTCTTATCATTTCATAATAATTCAGAATAACAAAAAGTTCTAAAATTGCAAGGAAAGAAAACTGTTGAACGTACCTGATTCCAGAGAGATGTTATCCACGAGGTTGGCTAGAGTCTTCCCTTTTCTTATTTCTCTTGCATTATTTGCTAATCTCTGTTTATTTGCTTCAGTGTTTTGCTTGAAGCAACAAAAACAGCCCATCACAATTCCCACCACCAATTTTTTCAATATTTTGCAGAATTCACCCCTTCGAATCATCAAAAATAAATTTTCAGAAATTTTCCCTCTTCGGTGGCTCTGAGCCAGGAGCTGATCCTCGCTCAAGGCCGTAACCACGCAATCCAAGTTTCTAAAGAAGAAAGAAAATCACATGGAAATCAAACATCTGAATGTATATTTCAATTCATGAAGGTTAGAATTTTTCTTTTCCATTTTTTTGTTTCATGTGTTGCCATTGGCTCCTTTTTCTTTTCCCCTTTTCCCCCCCTGCATGAAAATTGGTTGGATTCCAGATCATTAGGCCTAAAATTAGGAACCTTTTTTTTAATCTCTTGCTGCATTTTATGACGAAAATTATCCTTGTCATTTGTTCTAAAGAAAGAAAATCAAATTTGAGTACATAGTTCTCTCTACTATATACAATCTTGCATCATGGAGAAAATATACGCCATCAAATTTTCAGCAAGTTTAGGTACATTCATATCAACAAGGAATCATCAATTTCAGTAAGTCTAGAAGGGTACCATGTGAGATACGTTAAATGACAAAAAAAAAAGGAAGGGAGACTTAACTTACAAAATTTTGAATAATTTGTAACATATTAAGTTGTAGGAAATGTAGGTTATTGTACGCCATAGGAAAGCTAATACCAGCTGTGTCCTTGTGCCCAAACTGCAAGCAATTTGCAATGTCTGCAAGCATGAAAATGATGTATACACAAAATCCTAGAAAGGGCTCCCTGTAGAAAATCACATGCAAGAGGCAATAGAACATGAAATTTTGTCCCACTATCAATTTTAAATCATTGCACTCAATATCAAAAATCACTGTAGGCACTATCAAATATCAGCAATCAACATACAATGCAAGTAAAGTGAAAAAATTTTAATCAGAATATTCAGAATATTGTATCATTATAATCACAGTATTCAAAATCCGGGCTCTCTCTGTAGGACTATTTTCCACATGAGGAGGTTATGTTACTGTGGACAGTTCTCAATAGAATCTGCAGCTCAGAATCAGCAAATTGAGTAATAAATCACAAGGCATTTAACTCGTATCATTTCTCGAGCGCAAGTGGTCAAGTTATTCAAAGGAAAAGCTTGAATAGGATCATTTTCACGTCCAGTATTCCATCAGCCGATAAAAAAATTCAAGTGCAACTGACCAGCATCTTCGCAACCCGGCTAAACATTTCTGAATGCATATTTACAGAGATCTAAGACACTTTTCTAGGAAAACCACAGGAACCACTTCCTTCAGCTGATTGAAAATGACATGTTAGTATATACATATCAACTACTACTGTAATCACATACACAAAATTAAGCTTGCCCATCATTGTTTGAAGGCTCAACATTTTGCGCATCATTGTTTAAGAATTTCGGCTCATCATAGTTTTGGGGCTCAGCATTCTGCTCATCATTGTTTGAGGGTTTCTGCTCATCATTGTTTGAGGGTTTTTGCCCATCATTGTTTGAAGGCTGCTCAGAACGACGTCTCCTGAAAAATTTTCGGTTGAAAGATTCAGCAAGATCCGGATAGCTGCCCTTGATAAAGTTCTCCATGCACTTGATGTAGGAGAAATCAGCACGGGAGCCATCTTTGGACACAACATAGAAGCATCTAGTTCCTGTGAAATTACTGTGCTTGTCCACCTGTCAGTTTGAACAACAACATTATTCATTGAGATATAGTCTGATAAGAGGAATCATCGCTAGGGAGGCAAAAGAATATAGAAATATGCAGATATATCATATCGGTAGGATTGGATATGGATATGCATATATTTTTCGTTTTTGACAGGAAACGGATATAACTAACATATTTGAGTCCATATCTGAACATCGGAATATATGTATGGATCACGTGGCTGAAGTTATTTTGAACTTAGATGAATGGATCTTCAACCAAATTCTAGTGATTTAGGATCTAATCTTCATTTGATTTGGGGTTTTTGCATACATACCCCTAAAATCTTCCATATTTGCAAATTCACCCTCCAAATCTTGGTATTTGTGATTGAATCTTTCTACATCTTAATTTAATAATGTTGGTTTTTAAACAGAGCAATGTCAAATTTTTCCAATAATTTCCAATATGCTCGCAACATTTTCCTGTTTGGAAACTCAAAACTGTTAAGTGAAAGGGGTAGAAAAACTCAGTGTGAGAAAATTGGGGGGTAATTTGCAAATACCAAGATTTTAGGAATAATTTTGCAAATATGGGAGTTTTGAAGGGTACATATGCAAAAAAAACCTTGATTTTTTTAAACAATTATTATAAAACAGGCAGATAGCCTATAATTTTTCAGTCTTCTCTGTTTATGACACATCTGCTTTAATTCACATATGTTTTGTCTTATCTGATTTATATCCACATTCTACTTTAGTGGATGTAGACAATGGGTTTTCCTTACCACACCATGTTTGTATTTGTAGTTGCATCCATAAGGGGTAAGCGGAGACGGATACGATACAAAATCAGATTCGTTCATACTGATCTGTTTAAACCCATAATCATCATCATGTGCATGCTTAGATATGTGTGAATGTATAAGTTTGGACCTCTACCCATTTGTGCGACTGTAAGCGCATTATTAAAACATTTCTATCATTAATAAAATTTAATATCTGTCAGAATCTATCCAGAGGACACTTATCTCAAAATAACAGTAGGATAATGCCTTTGATGTAAAGTTGTTATTAAATTGTGAGATAATCCTAAGAAGCTAAAAGAGGAAACCATCAGAGCAGGCATGCTTATGTACGTGTCCTAGTGCATCTCTTGATGTTCGTGTGTGCATGCATATAGAACATTTCTCATTGATAAACTTTAACATCAGCAAGAAATCTATCTGGACAACATTTATCTCAAATCTAAAGCAGGATGATGCATTAGACATAATGCAGCTATAACTTGTAAGATGAATCTGATCAGAAGAGTTTTTAACCAACCAAACATAATCACAGAGATAAGAAAACAAGACACGTCTACTGTTCTTGAAGCTTCTCAGGACTTTCCTCTGCTAAACAAGATAGGAATAGATATATTGAACTTACAATGATATAGTCCAGTCCATCAGCGACTTTCGTTTGCTTATCAGGATGGTACTCAAAGACATTTTCAATAATGAATTTCTCATCCATTGGAGACACCCGGTTACCATCACTGCAAGCAAGTTTGAGAACCGCGAGATTAATTAATTAAAGAAGAAACAAACTTTTTGCTTAAGCAAGAATTACCAAAAAAATATTTTCTATAAAGGAACTATATGATCGCATTAGTTTGAACCAACAATCCAAGCATGCAGTACAAACTCAGCATGCAAAAGATTTCCTAAACAAAGGAATATATTAGACAAACAAGAGACGACCTAAGATTCTGGTTTACAAAAAAAATGTATAAAGAAAATAGATACATTGTAGCTGGATATATAAGGTACCTGGCTTCACGAAGAATTTTTCTAATAGAATTCATAATCGGTTCAATATCAACAAGAATTTTTTCCTCCTCTGTTGTAAATGTTTCCGCTCTTCTCCAGCTTCCACGATCATCGGATCTGCCAGGACCAGGAGGTCTAGGAGAATTGTTTCTCCCACCTCTACGATCAGAGAAACTCGAGGAACCCCGGCCTTGAGATTTCCATCCTTGTTTTCCTCTCCCTCCCCATGCAACATTTGGAGTCTCAACCTCAGGGGTCTTCGCTGTCCATGGATTTTCCCCACCCTCATTCCAACCAGGAGAGGCTTTGACTTCAGACTCATTACCTCCCAGCACACTATCAACCCCATTGGTTGACCAGCCTTTTTTCTCAGAGGAATTTTCATTCCAAGGCGAAGAGGTTTGCGTATCGGGTTTCCTTGGTGTCCATGAAGACTCATTTGTTTTATCCGTCCACGGTTTCTTTTCAGAGCTTGTCTGCCAAGCATTATCCTCAGATGTATCTTTTTTCCAAGGTGAAGAGCTTTGAGTCTCAGGTTTCCTTGGTGTCCATGAAGCCTCGTTTGCTGTATCTGTCTCTTGTTTCTTTTCAGAGCTTCCCTGCCAAGCATTAGTCTCAGAGGTATTTTCTTTCCAGGGCGAAGAGCTTTGAGCCTCAGGTTTCTTTGGTCTCCATGAAGACTCATTTGATTTATCTGTCCATATTTTCTTTTCAGAGCTTGCCTGCCAGGCATTGTTCTCAATGTTTTCGTGCTGTCCTAAAGAGATCTCAAGCTGTGGCTTCTTTGCTGTCCAGGATGACCCACTTGCTTTGCTCTTCTTCCACTGTGAATTAGAGTTCTCTTCCCAAGGCAAAGAGCTTTGAGTCTCGGGTTTCCTTGGTGTCCATGACTCGTTTGCTTCAGCTGCCCATGGTTTCTTTTGAGAGCTTGGCTGCCACCCTGAAGAGCTCTCAGCCCGAGATTTCTTCACATCCCATCCTCCCACCCCCTTGTTCAACTGTGCTGACTGATTTGGATGATGCGGTTTTGCATTATCCCAACTTGACCAATCATCAGATTTAGATGTAGGAATTTCGGAAGAATCTGGAGCATGTTGATCTCTACTTTCACGTCCTTGCCAGATGTCTGCCCCAACAACTTTTGGCGAAACCTGCCAGCTTGTTTTATTACTGGTGTTTGTTGAAGGCTTGGCTTTGTTTTCCCATGAGGACCAGTCATCTGACTTGGTAACAGTATTCTTGCCATTATCCCAGCTTGTTTTATTTCTGTTCTCTGCCTCAGCAACTTTTGGTGAGAACTCCCAGCTTGATTTATTGCCAGTATCTGCCGAAGGCTTGGCTTTGTTATCCCATGCCGACCAAGTATCTGACTCAGTAACAGTTTTGGCATTATCCCAGCTTGAAGAAGGTTTGCCTGTTCTTCCCCATTCTTGCCAGCTGTCGTTACCTCTGCTCTCAGTTTCAACATAATCTTCAAAGGTTGGCTTCTCACAGATATTGTTAGGCTCTGGGGACAAGGGCATGTCATCGCCTTGGAAATCATCCAAGAAGTCGTCGATATCACTTCCCAAGCAAGCACCAGGTAAATCCCTTTCTTGAGGCTCCCTAACCCATGCCAAAAGATCATACACGTCTTTCCCCACATCTTCATTACATGCCACCTGATATAAACCAAATTAATTAAGATGTAGAAATTAAAAAGTGTAATACAAATATGATAATATGCTCAGTCTATTATCAGCAAACCTGGTTTTTGTGACCCCATATAACTTCAAAGTGAGTTCCAGTGCCAACTGCAACATGTTTACCCCAGGAAACTGAAGAGACTATGCTGCCTAATGAATCCGTGTGACATTTCTCTGCAGCTTTCTCAAAACACTTCATTGGCGTCTGCACACATATTTCAGTACTAAGTCAACCAAAGTAACATTATGGTAACAAGTTATTATAATATTCCTTACAAGCAAAGTCGCTTCTGTAAAAGGCACTTGAACTTTGAGAGACCGAAACAATGATTTGAAGCCACTTGTGTTGAAACCAATGAGATTCCCTGTACATGTCATGTTATTGCCTACAAGTACCAGATGCTCCTTTATGACTCCCTTTGAAACCATTCTTATAGACTTCGATAGGCGCTGCACAAGTAGTCACAATAAAAAGATTAGTTCAATACATACGCACGTAACTTATGTGGACTGAGAACTAACGGGGAGGTTTTTAGGTATAACAGAAAAGTAAACAGAAAGTTGTATCAATGATTAATCGTAGTATAGTAAAATAGTGAAGGAACAAAGGCTAAAAAATGTTTCTTCTTGAATGCAAAAAGAGATGCATAATTTAACGTGCATACAAATATTTAGTGGTGACAATTATGCTCCTAATATACCAGCATAGCACAACTTCCATATACTTAAAATGGAATTATATTTCTAATATGAACTGAATGAAGAGCCTGATTCTCAACAATAAGACGGAAAGTCTTGATTGCTAAAGAGAAAATTTAAGATCGAAAATATGCAGAAACGTAGAATTGGAGCAGATGTTTCTGAATAAGATCAGACCATGGAAAGTATTGTCAGAAATGTACCAAACACATAAGTGATCTTGAACTATGTTGTTCTTGTTTTGACTGTATATCAAATAATACAAAAAAAACATTGGTGAAGTCATGACGAATTGTTATACTTACAAGTGCCATAAATAGACAAGATTTCTTATGAGAATTCTAGCGTACCTGAACAGATTGGTCAAATGCACAAGAGATCCCAAAAATTTCTTTGATTTGTTGGATTCCGTAAGGAATAGAGCGTGTAGTGTTGATAAGGTGTATTACCGGTAAGCATGCATCTAATACTATCCGCCATGCATCACCATTTTTCTTAGCTGCAACTTTCTGAACAACAACTTCTAAGGCTAATTCGCCCCGTACGGGATTGTCTGGGTTGCTCACCCAGGAAGTAGAATCTGGTCCAGACCAGATGATGTTAACAGTGTCTATTCGAGGATCACCTGCAAATTATCAAAGAAATACATAGTGGAAACCAGTCAAAACTATGTCAATATGTGCAGCATGAAGAAAGCAAAAAATAAAAATAAAAAAATCTCAATATGATGGCTATGTAGATTCAAATATTTTACTTAATGGCATCAAATGTAGCATACAGTATAGAAGAGTAATACATGAAATAACATGGAAAAGGAAAGAGTACTTTCTGAAAAAGAAAACATGGTATGGTAAAAGATGATATCAGTATCCACCTAGGTAGCACGGATACGGGCGGGACACGGACACGGTAATGGACATGGGACACGTTAAGTTTGTCAAATGTAGGATATGGGGACACAGCTATATATATATTAAGATATCTACAACATTTATATGTTTCTTTCTATTATCTATAACAATTAAGAATCAAGTTAAATTAAACTAAGAATAAGGTTTTAACAACAAAAGTTTAGTTTCAATTGTGTGGGATAATATGATGGGTATTCTTCAAATATATAAGTAATGGGTTTCAGATTTCAGGTTCAAAAACCGATTGGTTTTGAACCTAATATTACCAACGAAACTAGTTTAGGGTATAAGTAATGGGGAAATCGGATTTCCGTGTGTCGGACACGGACATAGCATCCAAAATGCCGTGTCCGAGTAACCTAGGTACCCACTTATTTAACCAAAATGGAATTGATGGTCTCTTATATTTTAATCCGCGGAAGAATATAATCTGTGTTCAAGTGAATAGCTAACATGTTTTAAATTGTTCAATAAGCTTCTGCTCCTTACTAGCTGAAGAGGGTTTCCAAAGGGAGAGTGGTCTACAATTCTACATTGGGTCCTTCATTGCAATGATAAAGCACGAACAAAGTTGATTAAGCTCCACTGAAGAATTGACCTAATCTTTAGGCGCAGACGAAGCAATCAAGTTGAGAGAGGATCATACCATCCAAAGAACCTTGATGGCCAGCTGGCAATGTAAAACTCACACAGTTCAAGCAACAGGAAACAAAGCTCGACATTCCCCTAGAACACAATACTGTCTAGATGAGGTAGATGATGTGGTTTCATAAAGGAAAAACACCACCATCTCTCAACATAAAGGAAAAACACCACCATCTCTCATAAAGGAAAAACACCACCATCAAGTGGATCGCCACATAGGCAAACACTTCAGTACTATATAACACAAAGGGAACTTTTGCAGGGGTAAGCGTTCAAAAGAATAGCAGGTATTTATATCAATATTCATGCTAATCATTGAATTGACATAGACCTACAGCTATATCAGCTAGGACACTGGAAACAGAATATGCAACAGCAAGATATCTCGGTACAAAATAATTTAGCAAAAAAATACAAGCAAAAGACTCTCAGAAGTTAAAACATAACAATAAGGATAACCAGCTGTCGCATACCTTTAATAATTGTATCTAATAAAATAGGACAGATAGTGTTGATCATAATGTGCATTCCTTGTTGAAGGGTTTCATCAACACCCCCAGCACAGTAAGAGAACTGAAGACATGGGAACTCAGATAAATTTGCATCATTTGACTGCAGGGAGCTGCAATCTTCACTGCAAAAAAATATGAAGGAAACTATTATTAGGATATTTTGAGACCAAGAGGGGGAAAAGCAGCAACCTACTATGCACATGATGATGAAAAACTTCCAATATGAAAAACATACTAGTGTGTACCCCGCCGTGCAAAGCACGGCCCCCAGTTTTTTTAAGCATTGCATTTTGAACCTGCCTCCCTCTAAGGTTTAATACATTTGATTTGATTATTGTACGCTTAAAATTAGAAATCATATCGATTGCTCTATACTTAAAAAGGTACTGTTCTTGCTACAGTAATGCTGTTTTCTGCTTGTGCTGCATAATTTACTGTAGTGTTACTGTAGCGTAGACAGTTCAATTATAGAGGAGTAGATGAAATCACAGCCCCAATTTGCAAAAACTGCATTGCACGCTTTCTCTAGGATTTCTTTCGGCTCTACATGAAGAGATTACATACAAAAAATTGCTCAAGACTTCCACAAACTGAGTTTCTGAAAAGGGATTTTAAAGATCAATGCGAATGCGTTGCACAAGCTATCAACCAAGAGATCCGTTATATTGCATGAAGTGATTAGACGTCAAATTTCAGTAGTACTTCCACAAACTGAGTTTCTGAACTATGAGAATACATAATGATTTCCAGAAGCTATCAACTATGAGAATACATAATAATGTATAGTTATCCCTAGCAATTACAATTTTTATCAGAAGCGATAAACAAATTTAACTTATGCCTAAAGTGTAAACATATACTGTTTATGATACTACCTAAAGCTGTAAATAAACTAGAGGAAAAAAGAAAACCCCAAACCAGACCCTTATATGGCTCGAGATAACGAAAACTTGACATGACCATCTAATATGTACAATTAGAAATTGTTCGAGGATAAAGAAAACTAGACATGACCATTTAGTATGTACGATTAGAAATTGTCTAATTGCACTTAATTACATAAGTAGCTTGCCATGGAAAATAGACTGTGTAGATGAGGATTAGTATAAAAATGATAAACCATGCAGTAAAATGGCTAACCTTGCCGACAAAAATGTTCTCCTCAAGATATTGGAAAGATGACCCTTTTTCCTTGTGTGGCCACGTATAACTTCTTGACACTTGTGAAGTACTCCGTCAGTGTTTTGGTTCAAAATCTTCAATCTTGTCTGTTCGACAGAGAGATTCATTTCATTTTATGTACCATGGAGACAAAAGAATGTGCATTGCAGTGAATGTACCGTATCAAGGTGAAGATGACCAACAAGGCCTGAAACAGTTGCTGAGTTAGGTAAACATATCTGCTTTTGGTACCTGAAAATGTCATTGTTATAAAAAGTCGATGTAACATAGTAACAAATTATCATCTAGTATCAATTTTCGAGATATAGCGAGCACAACAGCCAAATTATTAAATCAACCGTGTTCTGCTAGCACTAATTGGACGGATCCTGGTTAGTGGTTGTTCACAAGAAAAGAACAAGAAAATAGATCCAATACATACTGGACGAGGAAAAAGAGAGGCTATCATTGCGACAAGCTGTCAATTTTAGGCCACATGTATCGCCGAGTAAATTCTTTAACAGATGAAGTTCATAATCTACCATGAACGAAATAATCAACAAAGGCATTTATTGATTCAACTATGTTAATGCAACTGTCTTAATCAGAGAGCACAAACCAACATAAGTAGTAATTAAAGAAGTAACTTGGTTAGTCATAAGATCGGTTAAGATGCCAAGACAAATGAACAAAAATATAGAAGAATTAATCAGGGAGAAAAAGCAATTTGATCACTTAAAGATGACTAGGCATTAATACACAGAGCAGAAAAAATATTAAGAACAAAGACATCTAAAAATTGGGAGGTAGAAATCAATTCTACATACTCAATGGAGAAGTCAATCGCACAATGCTTAAGGGTTACGCTTCTCAAGCAATTCTGGACTGCAAGTGCTGAATTTTCTCTGCAAAACTTCTTTCCGCAGCAGCAATCATTCAAATATAGAACGATACGTCGGTCAATAAAAGCATTTTGATAAGCTGCTTTACAGAGCAGTATTTCCTGCAAGGAGATAAATTTATTAGGTTCATAAGCAAGTCGAACATGAAAGTTAGGCAGCAGAATAATGATCCAAGCTGATACCTTCATTAGTTCCCATGATGAATTTGTACTCGAGGATGAATCCAGCACAGCCTTGTAAGCCGGGTTTGAGATGGCCGTTGCAGCCAAAACACCAACTGGTTCACCAGCAGTTGCAACGCACTCTGCTCTGGCTTCATCTAACTCATATGCTAATTGAATTATTGAGTTACTACAGACATTTCTTACTGTTCCGTCATAACAAATGACAACATCTCTAAGGATGGCCATTAAATTTTTAAATAGAACTCCCGGTTCAGTCAGCCCACGGGAGGATCGAATAATAACCTCCCTTGCAGAGATTGAATGGACAAAATCTTCAAATGGATTGAGACCATGAAAGAGTGGATTCTTGACAAGCCCATGTGCCTCAGATGATGGGCTAACATCTGTTGTTGAGAATCTACTTACGAATAGGTGATGGATATCCTCAACCAATGCCTTTGAATACAACTTTCCTTTAACAAAGAGTTGAAGGCCCAAAAAACCTATCTGTTGAAGAACCTTACTGATCGAGGATTCACTTTTTGAATCGATCACATACCCAAGAGAAGAAGAATGTAAAATGAATGCAACAATTGGTATTTTAAGACGATTCAAGTCTTTCTCAACTTGCAATCCTAGGAGCTCATCATATGACATGCGCAACTGTGGCACAAAAGATGCAATATCTTGGATGCCATCTTTAACCTCTCTCAGGACGGGATTTGGAATGTAAAAATCCTGCAGACTAACGCTAAACCCTTCTAACTGCAACACCTCCATCAAAAGTGGTTGCAGTGAATTAAAAAAGTTAAGAGCAGCCTTAGGACCCTTTGCAACTAATATGGAAGTAATGATGTCAGTCAGTGATGACTGCAGAAAGTCCCTATTAAACTCAAATTTCAGAATTTCACTCTGATTGATTACATGTCTTTGGCCCGTACAGTCAACAGAAGGTGGCAAAGCAGACTGCAAAATTTGATATATGGTCCAGAGAGACCCAGAACCACAAGCTCGAAATACAGCAGGAGGTGGTAACACTGGCGAAACAAACATACCCAACTGCTGTGCTTTCTCTTTTCTCAAAAAAGATGAATTAGCCATGAGTTTTAGTGACAACAGAGAATCGCTAACCAATTGAAAGTTTAACTGCCCACTGTGAGAACTTAGTAACTGTTGGTCAACACTAAATAATTCCACAACTTCAGCCTTTGCAGCAAGTGACTGGGGATAGAATATGTGTACACAGTCGCCATCAAAATCGGCCCCGAGCGGAGCACACACAAGGGGGTTGATTTTGACTGTGTGGTCATCATGGACATAGACAGTGAAAGCTTGCAGAGAGTGCTTGTGAGTACTTGGTGGCCTATTGATGAAAACTATATCGCCATCCACGATACTTCGGCTTATAACCTGCCCGACTTTAAGGATTGTGTGCGCTTTAGAACCAACAGCTATTGCATAAGTAGATTTGCCGTCTCTATAGGTCACACAAAGTCCATCATTAACCATTTTCTGCAAACGCTCGAGATTATGAGCTGTGACCCTCTCTTCAAATGTAACCTTCTTAGCAATTTCAGAAGGCAAACCAATTTCATTAATCCCAATATACGAATCGCCAGTAATTACACTACGTGAGGAGAAACCTGAGCCCTTACTAATAAATAAGGTTCTAATTTTCTCTAGCCATTGCTTGGAAGAATTTTTGCCAGCATCAGGACCCAATACCAACTTCTTGCTGACATCATGAGGGGCCTTGTACAAGAGATTTGGAAGAATATACAGAAGAAGGTTAGGATGTGGAGAAAAACACAAAAGCAATTGAGAGCCATAAACATGGACAAATTGGTATACCTTCGCTGAACCCCTGAGGTGCATATATTCTGCAATTACTAACTGCAAGTCATTGCATTCAACCTCATGAGATTCAAAATTAGGAGAACCTGATCTGGAACGCTTGATCAGTTCAATCTTGCTGAGAACTCTTTTGAGCAGGGAAATAGAAATATCCTAAAAAAACCAAATGAATAAGTAAACGGACAATAAAAAGAGGTAGTGAGCAATATGATCTCATGGATAACTTACAGAAGACATGACACTTTTTCCATCTGAAATTTCAGGTACCAGTAAGCAGTTTGGTGGAACTGGAAGGTACTGCAAAATGTATCCATCCTGAGGAAAATATCCCTTCGCTACCAGTCTTTTTTTGGTTTCTTCAGGGATCTCTTTCAATATGTTAAGAGCCTGAAATTAGAAATAGATGATGATATGGAGTTTATTTCTTTACCAGTAAGAAAGATAAAAGAGGATGACTGTAATGACAAAAAATGCAAACAATCAACAACCATCAGCCAATAAATTGAATTAGTTCTCTGTTACCTTGCACTAGATCAATTATCAGTACTAAAAGTTAAAAAAGTGAAAACTTTTCCATTTTCAATATGCACCCACACACAATCTGGCAACAAATAAGATGGTAATATTGACAGTAGCTAAGTAAACACTGCATATCTGTCTAAGTATACTTCAAAAACATCTTCGGAGCTGATAAAACAATATTTGAACAAAAACATATGTGAATAAAAAAAGAAACAACTTCGAGATTTTCACCCAAGCGTTTGAGATTGATTACGTGGATCTTTTCTTTTCCAGATATATGAAATGCACCAATCGAGCCAATCATACCTTTCCTCAAACTCAGGTTTCCAGGTTGTTAGCCAGCACAACCAACAATTTCTGTCTTTCACGTAAAAGTGAAACCATCACAGATGATGCTACATGTCTCATATTTGATCAGAGACCATGCACATAAACATCATTAGTGTATCTACAAACTCTTTTCCACAGGCTTCTTCACTGCCTAGTCAAATGTATGAAAGATGGCAGGAGAATGGGACAATCAATCATACTCAAGAAAAGGCCGATGAATAGATGTCAAGGTTAATTGAAGGCAAGAAAAAGAATAATCAATGATAAAAGTATAATACGAAACATCAACAAAAGGCAACTTGAGACAAGTGTAAGAACAAACTTCTGACTGATGATTGGAGAATGTAAGTACACACATGATCATTCATTTTTCTCTCTGTGAGGCATACTTTTGCTCACATAATTGTGTTGAAGTACTTTCGCATACTTAATTGCATTGAAGACGAGGTCAAGGGCAATGAAATGGTAAGTGTGAAATAGCAAAAGCAGATATATAATGCTATCAATCAGGAGAAAAAGACAAACAGCTTAAAAAACCAAGCCGAATGAGTGAACAATTCATAGAAAAATGAGCATACATAGTTCAAAAAAAAGATCGTAAAGTAACATGGACAAGTAAAGTGAGTGACATGGATAAGCATGGATAAATGAAACTCGGAAACTTCAGAAACATGTGATATACTTGGAAGACAATGGGTTCTAGAGATGATCATGGAAGGGAGAAAAAGGCCAATATCTGAACCAACCATCAAACTGTTTTAGGCAGTGGGCATCGTAGTACATATCACACTAATAGGATATGATGAGGGTAAGAACGAATGCTATGCTCTAATAGTGAGCAGTGGCATGAAGATGCCACATGCAAATTAAGCAAGCTGCAAGAATCCTGAATAAGTGTAGCTATTTACGAACTGATGCACCTAAAACACTAGACAGCTTCTCCGAAAAGCATAGTTGAAAAATTGCAGATTCAATGGGAGATTAAGCAAAAAAAGGAAATAAGCACATGCGATTCTTTACGAGCATTATTAAAAGTAATAGACTAAAGCAACAGGAAGCTATCAAATCATATTAAAGGCAAATAACAGTGTGTCTCAAGGTACCCATGTTTAGATTATCACTGTGTAAGTGTATATGCCAAGTGCAATGTTATTATCAGCTAATACGCAAGTATCTTGAAATGCAAGTAAGATACCAAGTTGAAACATCATTAATAAAATATCATCCAGGTATGCTAGAATAGCCCCAATTCCAATCAGCTTAACAATAATGCCAGTAAACCATCCCATATGCTGGCCCAATAAGTAAAGATAGCAACCCAAGCTGGCAAGAGCTAGTTGGGTTCACCCAAACACAAACAGTTTGCAAAAGAAATGAAAGACTACGAAAAACAAATGAGCTACAATTTGAAACTTGAACGAAAAATTTGGTAGCTTCATCTAAAAAAAACTCTTTCAACAGAGATCTGAAGAAGAAAACCTCCAAGGGAAGCAAAGTGCGGCAGGTTCCATCACCGTGACGAAAACCATATTTTGATAAGAAGTTCCAGAATCCCTCTCTCAGCCTTAGTTTAGATGACACAGTTAATTGCAAGCAAACTGCACCATCTGATGTCTTGACCTCTTTAATTGAGATGGGAGGAATGTCCTGTATAAGAGAAATTAAATAGAAATTAACAGGAAGGCGTGAATGTCAATCAAAGTCATGTGCTTGAAGAAAATGCAGACATACAAATCATATCTACACACTTTACAAGTAAAGACACCGTAAAAGTTAATGCATCGGGAGTGAAGAATGCCAATATGCCATAATCAGCAGTTATGACGGGGAAAAGGAAATATTAGTACTAAAATTCTTTAGATTCGAATAGGAAATATTAGATCTGAAAAATCCTATCTGTGCCATATTTTTATGTGCATCCAAGGAGCAACCCTCCATGTCTCCCAGACAATAACAGAACTTAAAACAAAGCATCCCTTTGAAAGAAGTTAAAACTTATAGAAATTAAAACTTATAGAAATGCCGAAAATGAAGAAAGAAAATCTAATTAGTGGAATCACAGAGTTGCCCATACTAAACATCAAAGTAACAAAATACCAAGCGATCCAAAGAAAATGCTTAATTCAAGTGGAATAGGGCAGGTGCGTGGCAGTGCCAACTAGTATCATTGAATGAACAAGAACATGCTGGTAAACAAGTAGTTGAGCATTTTATAAACATAGAACGCAATTGGACACTGAAGTCATGCATGAACCAGCATACAACTAATTTGAAAGGTCAAAACTATGCGCACATTGTTACTATGCCTCAAATCACCAAATACATGATAGTCATCTATAATGTGCAAGCACAATATCTTGTAGTTCAAAGATCCAAACTGATATGGAAACAAACTAGTTATCAAAACCCATCAACTATTAGTTTGAGATTATTTTCTTCCTTCAACATAGACAAACATAAAGAAATATCCAAGCATGAACCAACACACAATTAATTTGAAAGGTAAAAACAATACTCAGATTGTTATATCAACTTTCCCTTAAATCACCAAATACATGATTGTCATCTACAATGTATAAGCATAATATGTTGTAGCTCAAAGATCTAAACTGATAGGGAAACAAACTAGTTATCAAAGCCCATCAACTATTAGTTTGAGTCTTTGAGATTATTTTCTTCCTTCAAAAACAAACATAGGGTAGTATCCAAGCATGAACCTCTAGAGCAATATAATTTAGAATTCAAAACTGTACTAAATAATGGTTCATTACACAATTTAATCCTTGCATCTTTTCAAACATAGTTCTCTTCTCATTCTGACTGTATATTATTCAAAAACTAGAAGAGCAAACTCTAGAGCCATTCAACTATGTCTAATGCATATAAAACCCAGGAAGTTAATGGTTAGGACTTAAGAGATAGAGATACAATATGGATTCGAGAAACTATTAAAAATCTAAGTCAATAATTGCACAGATCATGTTGTTGGTGTATTTTTTTGTCCTCTCCGATTGGATAGATTGTAGTATAACTAAAGACCAAAAGATATGTTGATATTGTATTTTTCATTTTTCAGAAAAGAAATACAGAACAATCCCATTTAATCTGAAAACAGAACCTTGAAAAAAAAAGTAAAATTAATAAAGCAAACAGAATATGGCCAATACCCGACAATGTGAACATGAAGTAGCAGCAGAGTTACTTGATTTCCCAGCCTTGTCTTTTATCTGCAAAAATTTACAACAAACAAAGAAAATTGCATAAAAGGAACTTCAACCCAAAAAAGCCAGTATATCGTAACAACTTTTTAATAAATAAGACGAACTAGTTTCACAATGAGAATATAAGGGAACACAACAGTAAAGCAAAGCCTTTTGAAAATCAGAACACTACATGTATCCTTTTGCTTTGTCCATTATTTGTCACCTCCACTAAAATATATAAATAAAAGAACGAGAATATACAATAACTTGTGGAGCCTAAAGGATTCCTGCATGCACATAAGCTAATAATGACACGTTAGTTCTGCAGTTTAATTACTACAAACGAAGGAACAAAAATTCTATTTACCCCTCCTCCCCAAAAAATAAACCATTTACTGATCAGGAAGTACTGATTAGTAAAAGACCAAGGCTCAGTACTTCAGGCTCGTACTCATTCATATCTTGAAATAAATAGCTCCAGTTATATTTCATCTTCAACACGACAGTTTCAGCTGTCACTAATACAAACTGATTATTCAAAATTAAATTTAACAACAGCAAAATGTCAAAAAAAACTGTGCAAGAAAACCTGTCATGATTTTGAAATTACATAACTGAATTGTTGTTGGATGCCATTTAGCTGGAGCCCACTAAAGATGGTTCTCACATCATATACTATAGGTAGACAATAGAAATTCCACTACAAAGAAAAAATGAGAGGTGATAGTACCACATACTATGACAAAAAAAGTAACAGTTTTATTCTTCCACTTATAAGCTCTCTCTCATAATATCTGTCATATGCTCCAAAATTATTTAGTTTCCAGCAGGGGTTTAGTCGCTTTTGGATTTCATATTTCTCTTATTGCTTGAGTTCTTTCACACAATTTACATTCGGATACATCTTCCAAATATATCAATATAGTGTTTATTAAAAAGGTAACATAGAACACGTAAAGAATGTTAATCATAAATAAATAAATCATAATAGTTATCAACTCTGGCTGATATAACCATGTCAGGAAAGTTAGCAAAGAAATCAAGGAAGATAAGAAGTTGTCATAATAATACAAGTTAGCAAGATCATGTAAAAGACAGTTTTCAGTTGTTATGATTTAGAACCTTTCCCTTCTTTGTCCTCATGCAGTGGAAACACACAAGGCTTAGAATATCTCTTAGCTCACTAATGTGTAAAGGGTGATATACTGGAACTGGTAACTCAATATAACCAAAATGACCTGAATTAGAACAAAAGACAAACTGTTAGAGAAAATTTATCTTCAGATGCTTTAAACTTGCATTGCCAAATACTTAAGAATCCATCAGTTACAAGTTCCCACCTTCACAATTCCCACTTTCAGCGGTCCCACAAGATTCACACTTGCCAGATTCCAATGGCAAGCCAAGGAAAGGATTTGTCAGCTGGGACGGATGAGAAATTGGGCAATCATTTATGGAATATTTACACTGCAAAATAAGAAAAATATCGCTTAGCAAGACCAAAGGCTCAACCATGACATGCAGATAAAAGCAGTGTGAATGCTAAACAACTTTTTCTAAGATAAACTAAAAATTATTAGGTACAAATATTACCATGACATTGGCACCGTCTAAGTGCAATGCATCAGAAAGATGTTATGCGCGGAAATAAAGAGATTTCTATATGTTAAAAGTAATCTTTTGTGAGCTTAATGAGGGCATGTAATCTTTTTTGCAAAATAAGGTTATTTTTGGCTAAACTTGCAGCTGAGCATAATTCAAATTTCACATAGGAAGGCCATATGAAATGTCAAACTGAAAACATAGTGCAGGCAATGCTTCTCATATAAAAGTAGTAGATTTCCTTCTCTAGTGAATTAACGGATTAATACACTGAAGGGGTGAACCTTGTGCTAGTCCATTGATCCAGAGAAGGAAATTTGAATATGAAATTTAGATCCATTAATTTCAGAAAAAAGAAAACTGCAGTAAAATAAAATTTTCATTACATGTGCAGTTACATTCATTAATAAGCAAGAAAATCAATAAGGTGGAGCATATAAACTTCAAAAGGAAAACTATAAAGAGGTTGGAAGAGACTGATAATGGTTAACAAATAATCAGTGAAGAAAAAGGAACACATACAACTTCCTCAGCTGTTGCAATGCTAAACTTGATAGCACGAGCAATTCCATCTGATATGACAGGAGAAATAACATTTTCTTCCATCTTTCTTTTACAATCTTCAAAAAAATTATCTGCATCAGAATTCAGGTTTGCAAATGTATATTAATGTTTAACAAAGGATGATACTGTATTGAACTGCTACATAATGAATAGAATGTAAATAAAACAATCATGTTAATTTGACGAATCTTTGGGTTAAATAACAAACTAGTGATGTCCAAATAATTTCATTCGCATATAACATCTCACTAGCATTCAGTTGAAACTTTTCTTTAGTAGATGGATATATAGTCATGGGCTAAACACCAAAAAACATTCAAAAGAAACAAAGATTCATATCGATTAACAATTGGGCAACTAGCAATTTCCATAAAAGTTAAAGCATATTAGACATGCAAAACCCAGAAGAAAAATGTTAAAAAAAATATTAGCAAAGCACCAATTGAAATAAGCCAATGAAGTCCATGAGAATCTATTGATAGAAGGAAAAACCAAACTCATTCAAGCATGCTGAAAGCCCATCAAACTATCTCATCAGCCTGTTAACACGCAGAAATCACCTAGTTTGATGAAATCCAAATAGCTTAAGCAGATACTATTCATTGAAAATAAATATATGTATATATGTACAGATTCTCCAACTTACACCTAAGAGCACAAGCAGGCAAGCATGGTTATTTTCTACTAACTAGAATGATTACAACTCCTAATCAAATCAAATCATAAAAATCCTCAAATGGGTTTCTCTCGTATAACAGATTCACAGTCCTAGTAAAACAATAGCAAATTTAAGGAACAATTTACCCACATTTCTGAAAACAAACCTCAATGCATGTCAAAAATAAGGCCCAAAACAGAGAAATAAGCAAGAAAAATACAAATACATGAAATAAAACACGAAATTACCATATGGGTTTAGGGTTCTGCGACATTTCCGAAACTAAACAAAAACCCATTCGAAATTACAATTCAAATGAGGGGAAAAGGGTTTTGAAATGAAACAAGACCTTTGTTTGCTCCAACTGTCGAGCCCTTCGTCGAGAATTGAGCGGAGAGATTGAGAGAGATGAGAGATTTAACTTACAAGAAGGAGGGTTTAAGGGTTTTTTCCCCTCTTTTTTTTTTGGTCAATTTTTTTCTCTCTTTTAAGTGAAGAGAGAATTTTTGGCGAAGAAAAAAAATGGGGTTTTGGAAGGGGAGAGGGGTGCCTGGTGACTTTCTAGGGCCTGTTTGTAGAGCAAAAGAACATTTTGCAGAAAACTACACAACAAATTTTGATTCCTTCTACTAAATTGGGAGAAATTACAAAAGTTCCCCTGAGCTAGTGTAGAATTGGTCTCCAACGATGTCACCTAGGTGTCATGGGAAACGTTTAATTACAATACTACACAGATCTTTTATTAAGAAAAGTCACCGTCTTTGTTGAAAGAAAGATAAGATTGTCTATTGTGAGTTGTTTCAGTGAAGACTCCACTCTCATGAAAAAGTATCCGGTAGACATGGACCACATCCATCAAGCACGTGTCATGTTAAGAAAGGAACGCTCTTGAATCGATGTAAGTCAGTATTGACTCAAAGGATTAACGCATTGGTTTGAGGGTCCTCTTTCTTTGAGCACACTACTCAACAATAAATATGGCGTATATTTTTTCCGTTTTGGTCATTCTCGAGAATAAAAATTGACAATTGGATGTAATAGGCAAGTTAGCTAAATCAATTGAAAATAGAGCTGTTCTCATTAGCAAGAAATTAGAATATTTTTGCTGTTAGACGATTAAATAATAGTTTCAATAGGAAACTCACACAAGCATGTTGAACCTTTAATTTTAAATTTTTCGAGGAATTTTTATATTTTTTCAATGATAACTAAAAACTTTTGTTAATGGAGTTGCTATTTTTTGTAATATATGGACTAATAATACAATTTTTTCCTTGGTCAAATTTTTCTCTCTTTTAAGTGAAGAGAGAACTTTTGGCGAAGAAAAAAATGGGGTTTTGGAAGGGGAGAGGGGTGGCTGGTGACTTTCTAGGGCTTGTTTGTAGAGCAAAAGTACATTTTGCAGAAAACTACACAACAAATTTTGATTCGTTCTACTAAATTGGGGGAAATTACAAAAGTTCCCCTGAGCTAGTGTAGAATTGGTATCCAACAATGTCACCTAGGTGTCATGGGACACGTTTAATTACAATATTACACAAATCTTTTATTAAGAAAAGTCACAGCATTTGTTGAAAGAAAGATAAGATTGTCTATTGCGAGCTGTTTCAGGGAAGACTCCACTCTCATGAGAAAGTATCCGGTAGACATGGACCACATCCATCAAACACGTGTCATGTTAAGAAAGGAACGCTCTTGAATCGATGTAAGTCAGTATTGACTCAAAGGATTAACGCATTGGTTCGAGGGTCCTCCTTCTTTGAGCACACTACTCAATAGTAAATATGGCGTGTAGTTTTTTCCGTTTTGGTCATTCTCGAGAATAAAAATTGACAATTGGATGTAATAGGCAAGTTAGCTAAATCAATTGAAAATAGAGCTATTCTCATTAGCAAGAACTTAGAATATTTTTGATGTTAAACGATTAAATAATAGTTTCAATAGGAAACTCACACAAGCACATCGAACCTTTAGTTTTAAATTTTTCAAGGATTTTTTTACATTTTTTCAATGATAACTACAAACTTTTGTTAACGGGGGTTGCTATTTTTTGTAATATAAGGACTGATGTTCCAATTCTTTTCCAGAGCTTTTATTTGAAAATTATGTTAGAAACATTGCGAATCTCAGGATATATTTTGATTTGTCATGTTTTTATAATTTATTTCATGATTTTCTTTACTATAGTGAATTTACAGAAATTTTGAGGAGAGCATAAAAAAAAATTGTGCATACATCAATATGAAGTTGTCTTCATGGATTTTTGACGTGAGGATTGCGTATTTGGGCAGTTTTTGTACATATCTACATATATATAAGTCATCTGATATAAATGAAAGAGTGGTGCTAGGGGCACACCCCCAACCACACCCTCCACCAAACCTCCTCTCCCTCTATAGTGCATTGGGTCCCACATCAAATTTTTAAAAAAAAATTGATGCGGAGCCCAATGTACTATAGAGGGAGAGGAGGTGTGGTTAAGATTGTGGTTGGGGGTGTGCCCCTAACATTTCTATAAATGAAAACAAACTTTGCAGCAAAAAATATGAAAATTACCATTTGGGCTAAAGAGGACATATTTCCTTCTCCATATTTTCCTTGCATAGTTTTAAATTCGATTTACCATTCAATATTTTCTCCATTGAAGAGAAAATAAGATCACGTACGTCTGCTTGTGCAATATTTTTTTTTTTTTTACATTACACAAGCAGCCCAATTTTCTTATGATTCTCTTACCATTAAAAATTTGGTAGCATGATATCTAATTTGTAGGGGGAAAAACTTTTGTGTTCTTTCTTTAGAATAATTTGTCTTTTGATAAAGCACTTCGTATCACACGGACTTCTTTTACTTCTCTTTTCAATCCAATTAGCTTACTAGTTAATTAGTTTAAGTTAATAAAATAAGACATATCGTTTTAGTTTTGCTTAAAGAAGTTCAAATGCTCCTTTTGACAGAAATTCTCTTTTTAGTTAATTAGTCCCTATGTAGTAAAATCATGAAGCATGCAGTTTTAATTCATTTGAAAAGGAAATTCCTTTGTTGAGCAAGTTGTTAGAAGAGCTTTTTTTCCCTCTCTTTTTCAAGAGGAACGAGGTGTCCACTGTTATTTCAGTCTTCTCTTTGTTTTTATAAATTGCTTTTTTAAGCAAAAAATAATTATTGCAAAAAATTAGTAATAAATAACCAGAGATTGCTAGCTCAAGGAATCATATGTGCCTGTTTTTTCGTATTCGATTCGATTAGTAAAAAATTGCAGTTGTTGCCCGTGTGGAAAAGGTCAATTATTTTCTCTTTATTAGTCAAACCAACATGTTGAGTTCTTGCTGAAATAATTGATATAGAAAGAAAATGAAAGGTTGCTATATCAAAAAACATTATAGGACACTACATATAAGTTTTCTCTTGAGGGGTCTCTAGCATACTATGTATAATCCGTACGCTTCGAATGTAAGTATAATTATAATTTGAAAATTATAGCTATCCTCTCTAATGATTCTGAGAATCTTTCTCGCAAATCGGGTGTTGTGATGTGAGATTTATTTTCAGTAAAAGTATAGGGATTCTCGTCAAATCTTCAAATAAGATAGATAAATACATATTAACCACAGAAGTTTAAAAATTGTATGCATTAGACGATTAAATGTTGATCTTAAAAAATCCCAATATTACTATTAAATAATAATTGGAATTAGTAAAAAGAAACAGAAAAACTATAAAAAGAGATGTGCTTGTGTTGAGAATGTCATCCTCTAGATGAGAGAGCGGATTCTCTTAGAATTCTTAAATTATCGATTTTCTCAGGTCATTGAGTGATGTCGTGTGATGGTAGGCCTCTTGAAGATCTTGAATGATCGGTGTTCCTGAATTTCTCGAGATATATGAATTGTGCGAGGATTTTCAAGTTTATTCATGCTAAACCTGTAATGGTTTGTGATTTGTGAAGTATAGTAGAAGTGGAGGTAGGATTGTTCGTCGAACCACTCAAAACTATTTGTATTGTTTAGTTGCTTGCTCTTTCTTATTGTGCAGGGTGCTTTGTTCGTCGAACCACTCAAAACTATTTGTATTGTTTAGTTGCTTGCTCTTTCTTATTGTGCAGGGTGCTAATGTACCCCAATAACCCCCAACAAAATATCATACATCGTGGATGCTCTTTCTTATTGTGCAGGGTGCTAATGTACCCCAATAACCCCCAACAAAATATCATACATCGTGGACCAAGTTATCCATATACCTTGCAAATCCCATTTACTAAACCATTCACATATTGCTATAAGGATTAACCTTTGATTATTCAATGTAAAATTACAAAATGATTATGGGAAAAAGTCATATATATAGAGTGTTTCCTGAAACCATACCCGTCAAATAGAAGCTACAAACGTTTCTAATTAGTGTTAAAACTGACATAGTGATGATTTCTACACCATTTGCACCTGCTCTATATGCTATCGTATATTGATTTTCTACTCATTTTGCATCAAACCAAACCAATCAAGGATTAATCCTATTTCACATATCAGGACATAACTAAACTGGTTCATGCTAGTCATTAAATAGGGAAAGTTGCAAAATGAACCTTACTTTTTATAAATTAATGTATTTTCTCATACTTTTTATAATTTTGTATAAGTATGCTGTCATGCCCCGAAAATGTAGCGGATAGTATATACGGGTATACTACAGCAACAACCAGTGCAGAAGATAAATATTATGAGCGTGACAAGCCTAGCACTTCTTATCACATAGCTTTTATCAAAATATATAAACATGTTCAACAGTTTGTTTTGAACTTTTATCATCAGCATGTCTATATATTTTTGAAAAAAGTTATGTGATATGAAGTGTCAGACTTGACAAGCCTTATCTTGTGCATAGGTCGTTGTCATCACGTGGCTTAATAGTAAGATGGTACTAGAGAAGTTTGACAGTCGAAAGTGTGAAACTATGTGCTATACGAGACTACTTGTTTGCGTTGTGTTTGCATAGTGGGAGCCACCTTTAGATCCATTAGGAGTCACATCTAAAGTCCATATTGCTTAACAATGCTAATGGGATGTATCAATTGTTACGCTATGACAAGGACATCGTACATGTAAGGTGGAGTGACACCCCTCCACATTAGTCCCACAATGGTGGGTGAGTAAAGATTTGTATGGTTTAAATAGACAAATCTAAGACTCAAGTATGTCATTGACTAGTTGATTATGATAGTAGTTTGAACAAAATCAATGCGCTACACTTAGTGGAACCAACGACTTGTAACACCGTAAGGAGTTCGCTGGCCAGGGATGTGACCTTTGCCCTCTGTAGAGGATTAAAATTTAGTTTCTCAATGGAGGTTTGTATTAATTGAATGCTTGTTACAAACCAAGGAATCCAAAAGTTACAACAGAAGCGGAGAGAAGGCTCTCCTTGTTTAACGTGGGTTCTTCGGTAGCGATAGGATGCCTCCCTCGAGTACTTACGTCGAGTTTGTTTCCCTTGGACGATCCGATCGAAGTTACAGTTGAGCTTCAGTACACAGTAGAAGCTTTTGTGTGATTGAATTCGATAAATGTCCGAGCTTTATGAGTATTAAGGCTGAATGCTTAGAGAAGGCTAATATGTAAGAGTTTGCAAAGAGCCAAGAATCTGAGAGTTCAGATTGAGTCTACACCCTCTTATATGACTTTCTTGTGTAAATGCAATTTTTATTGCCTACACCCTCTTATATGACTTTCCCCCATTTGCATAAAAGTAGCAAGATGTACGGAACATCCAGCTCATAAGAGATCCTCACTTTTAGGGGGTGTTTGTTTCAAATCCTATAATTTTAGGATATGGATTTCACCATGAGATTTGAAAATCCATAGGTAATTTGTTATGAGTTGGGATTTCTAAAACTGTGTTTGTTTCAACAATATTTTAGGATTTAGAATACTATGATTTATAAATTTTTATATGTTTTAATTTTTTTGGAATTTAAAATCCATAATTTGTATAAAGCTTTTGAAATCCACCCCACATCCCTCATGAAAAAGAGGATTTTACAAACCATTAAATATATTACTTTTTTTATTATTTGTGGATTTAATATCCTAAAACTTATTTTGAAACAAACAAGTTTTATGGAATTCTAAAACCCCAAAAAACCTCTTTTTACATTCCGAAACTTGAAATCCACACCATATCCCAAAAAAATGAAACAAACACCCCCTTAGACTTTTGCTAAAATTTCACAAATTCCATTTTTAGAAGACGCGAAAAATTTGCTACAAATAAAAATAGAAACGGGCTACCGTGCAAAATATCCAGTATCGGCTCCGGTCTTCGGAGCATTAATCTCACCGGCTGTCCCATCACACACACACTTGCCAATCCCACTCAGAACGCATCGGGACTGCTAATTGAAATGACATTCCTACCCTCGAATCTCCATTCAAACGGCTCAAATAACCTGGAGAGTTCGGTTTATCTTCTCAAACACAAAATATAATACATGATCATTTCTATGTCGACACGTGTCCATGGTGGTACAAGCTCTGCTTTCCATTTGTTGAAACCGCTGATGTGTGAAAAATGATGCGTAGCTGATCTGATGCCCGCCGTAAATGGCGACAACGTTCTGAGCATTGCTCCACACGTACGTCCTATGCTACCGTCATAAACTATCAGTTTTTGTTTTCCGGTACTTAGTCCTTTGGGGTCTGTTTGGATGCAAAAATTGGATGGAGAAACTTGTAAAAGTTCTAACTTTTTAAAAACTTTTGCAGACTTTCCTCCACTTTCTCCTCTAATTTTTGCAAACAAACGGGCCCTTAACTCTTCAATATTTTGATTTTAGTCCCTGAATCCTTGAAATTATTGGATCAATTAATTTATAATGAACTTGGATCTTCTCAACTATGAGAAAAAAAGGTGAGAGACCATTATATTTAATCTGAATTATTAATTATATAGTGGATGATTATGATACAATCTAATTTACACTCACCATATCTAATATATCGATTGCATTCGTTCCTAATTTGTACTCACAGTAAAAAATCATAACAACACATTGCATAAAATAATTGCTATAATTAACTAGTGGTACCTCCATTTTTTTTGCTGGTGGAGATGATTCGAATCCATTTATCATAGCGTTGATTGCGAACTACCCTCTATAGTATCATCCAATCGTGAACATACCCCCGACAGTTCTATGTTTACGAGTAAACCCCTCATGTGACTTTTTTCACTCTTAAAATTGGAGGAAAATATTTAAGGAGGCGAGTATACCCTTTATAGTTCTATAAGTGAGGATGGACCCTCCATTTCTAATTTTTTTTAGTTTTTAAAAGAGTCAAAAAAAATATTTATTGAGGGTGTATATATGCACATGGGTCTCTATTCACCGCAACAAAGGTACAACGGGTCTATTCACCATTAACCATTTATAATATGACAATGATGTAGCTCAGTTCTAACCAAGTGAATAATGGTGAAAAGAGAAACCTCATGATCATCTGTAGTTGAGAGTAAGACAGATCTTTTTATAAATGAGAGAATTCTATAATGTAAGACATGGTCCTCGCTAATCTCTAATAAGAAGTAGATTAGTGTGCGCCCCGTGCGAAGCACGACCTTCCCTTTTTTATCCCTTCAGTAATCCCGTTTTTAATTGCTATAATATATTTTTAAATGTTACAACGATTTTTTTAAATGATACAATAATATTTTTTAAAAAAATCTACAGTATCCAACCTCTGCTACAATAATATATTTTTTAATATGCTACAATAATATTTTGATAATACTACAATAATATTTCTTCGAAAATGCTACGGTAATAATCCCACAGTAATTTGCTGTAACATTTACTGTCGCATGAATAGTGATTCTTGGGTCCTCTCATTATTATAGAGGAATAGATGACATAACAACAATATCAGTGATTTGATGAACTACATTTAAGATAACTTGTGAAATCGAGGGACCCATCGATTTTGATGATTTTATGAGCTGATTTGTGGCAGCTTATAAGGATGTAGGGATCTCATAGCAATCCTGACAATTTTAGACACTACTTTTGAACTATTCAATATCCAAGGGACTAAAATGGAGGGGAAAAGCTTTCTTTTTAATAAATAGTCCCTCTCGGGCCAAACTTGCAGATTACCAACTACTAGAAGATATCTTCAAAATACTTATAAAATTATAGGTGATGTTTTATTTCCAGCATAGAAAGTAAAGGAGCTTCTTAGTTCGGTCAAACAGAAAAGGCCGAGGCCTATTGTTTGAGCTTTGGGCTTAGGCTCTCTTTTTTTTGACCTCTACGTGATACTACAGTCCAAATAAATAAAAACATCATTATATTAAGTATAATTATCATTCCAAGCACGACTGTCATCAGAGCCTTTAAGGCGAACGATGGTTGATAGCAATATTGACATAGAAAACAGTTTTCCTGATATTGGATTTTCATTTGTAACTAGCAAGCAGGGGACTTCAACAGGCCAGAGGCTTGGATCTTAACAACATTAGTACACGCGTGGATATTGGATTTTCATGATAATTTAGACCCCATATTGTTCTTCGCCTTCGATACATAGAACATTGCTTATGAACCGAAAGCTGATTTACTCGCATCAACAACAAACTGGATTAAACTTTCTTCCGATGAATTAAACACACACTTGTGATCGAGATACCATTGATGAGCATCATCATAAGATGTTGCCAGATTTTAATCTCTTTTAATACATGATAAATTACAAAAATCTTGCTAAAGGTGCGTGATCGACATAAATCCTACTTAGATTTATAAAAGTAGACATTTCTATTTCCCTATGTTTTAATTTCTATAGATTGTATTGGAAGTAAAAGCCAATAACATGGTATATTGATAGTAAAAACACACGGGTGAATATTGTTATGGAGAAAAATTGGTGATATATGGAAAAGCTGATGATTGTTTGATTAAATATTGGAAACTAGGAGGGTAAAATGTCTTTTTCAAGTTTCAATGCATGAGAATGCAAATTCTATCAGAACATCGGGTCTAAAGGGACAATCCATACAATTCATAAGTATATTGGGGTCTAGCTTGTAAATTTGAGCTTTTCTATTTGCGATGCAAATCATACATCCCTATAAAGATGATTATATAGGATCCTTAATGGGATTTTTATCAACATGCAAATACTAGGAAGTTTTTTTTTTCATTTAATTTATACCTTAATCAATTTGCTCACTCACAATATGGATAGTTTTCATTCTATCTTGTTTATGTTTGCAATAATTTTTTTTAAATATAGGGCGAATTGCACTTAAGTGGCCTATTGTTCCACCGATTTTCACTTAAACGCCTCCGGTTGTAAAACATTTCATGCAAATAATCTATAATATTTTCTACCTAAAAACTTTTTAGGTTGTTATGGTTTTTCTAAAGGACGAAAATGCCTCCCCCACCCCCGGGTATTAATTGAACAATTTTTCAAAATCGACCCATTTAGTTTTTTATTTTTCAAAATCGACCGTTTTTTCTTTTATTTATCAAAACCGACCGGATTTTGTGATTAGCAGATTAATCACTATCCTAAATAGTCGGGGTTGCCAACCCCGACTATTTAGGAGGGTGTTAAACCCTAATTAAGGCCTTTAATTAGGGTTTAACACCCTCCTAAATAGTCGGGGTTGGCAACCCCGACTATTTAGGATAGTGATTAACCTGCTAATCACAAAATCCGGTCGGTTTTGATAAATAAAAGAAAAAACGGTCGATTTTGAAAAATAAAAATCCGAATGAGTCTGTTTTGAAAAATTATTCTAAGAAAAAGGATTAGGTTGATTTAATTGTAAATTAGAATATCACGTGACAAGTCACACGAGAATATTCGTTAAATATTCTAACACCTTACTAATAGATGACATCAACGCGCAATATCTTGAAACTCTAGGGCATCAACTTGCAACATTCGAAACTTTGTAGGTTTGAAGAGAAATATTTTACAACTGGGATCATTTAAAGTGAAATTGGTCATTTAAGTACAATTAACCCTTTAAAATACTTACAAATTGTTAATTCGCCCTATTGTTACTTGTTAGACCCCTGTGAAGTCAACGGATCACAAGCGCGCACGATTCTAAAACGATTTGAACCAACGGTCAAGATTGCTTTCACACCATAATAGAGTGCACCGCAGTATAATATCTTATCCTATTTTAGCCCGAGGTCCTTCCCAATTTTTTTACTTGCTCTCTCGGTCATATCAAAAAGATTTCTAGGGTTTCTGAGAGAGAGAGAGAGAGAGAGAGAGAGAAAGCTGCAATCTTTGATTTCCCAGAGGCGAGCAGGTATCAATCTGACTGTGTAAAACTGTAGGGTTTATTGATTTGATCACCGTTTCCTGTAGTTTCAATTCAGTTTCTTGAATCTTAGGGCTTTTCTTTTTGAGAAAAATTAAAGGCGTTTATCTTTATATGTTACTTGTTCAGAATGAAGACACGAAGAATTCAAAGAATTGGAGGAATGTTGAAAAGATTGTGCTGATGATGGTGCTGGGTTGATCTGAGGTTGGTTGCTTTGATCCCCTCTTTTAATTTGTTTGTTTATTGATCTGGATTGCATTTACACGAGATTGCCAGAAAGTTGTTGTCTTGTTGTGTTGTAATGCTTATTTAGTGTCTTGTAGCTGAAACTCGATAAATTCTGAATAATTTACTTTACCCATCATCTTAGTTTCTAGGAACTAGCTTTTAGTTGATTAATATGAGAAATTTGGCCGCATGTTTTAGTTTGGACTTCAGAAAAAATTCATGAACTTGGACTACGCTTCTTCCGTAAATATTGGAGAAAAGATATGCTAGGCAATAGGCATTATGTATTTATAGTTCTATGGCGCGTGTAGCATGGCTATTGGATTGTACTAACTCCCATTTTAAATCCTTAGATGTTGTTTGACGTTCAATTGATGCGAAGTATTTCGTTAAAATACAGTGTTTTATCTTGATTATTCAAAACTTTCTAAAATCATCATTTGTTTACTATATCATTTTCTGAAATGGGACAAGGCTTGAAGTGCCCTGGGAGTTTTAGGCAGATGTGGTGTGGTAGATAATATGTGGAGAAATAAGATGTATCAGATTTTGTAAATAATATCAGGATTCAGGGATTCTTTACTGGAATTAAATATTCTGACTTAGAAAACTATAGGGGAAGCTTGTGAAGTACTACTGTAAATTTTATTCTTACTATGTGTGTAACACCCAACCTCCCCCACAATGAACAATCCATTTAATTTAACTAAAGGACATCCTATAGGACTAGAAGTGAAGTATATATCCAGACATTGAAAGAAGGTACAACTTAAGGTACATGTGACATGTATTCGTGTACAAAAGTAGATTTTATACCAAGTCTATCCATTCAAGGTACTGATTTGGGTTATTTGTCCTTTGATTTACTTGGCACGTTAAATTTGAAAATGTATTGCTATAAGGTTTTAGAGAAATATTCTCTTTCTTTGGGATGGACTTGGTTTCTTTTAAGTGCCTACACCATTCATGAAATTGATCTACCTTTCTGCCTAAATTTTTTTGACAGAAATATGTAGTGCATTTTATATTAGTCCCCTTCTTATAAGTTAATGAGGCACTTAGCTCGGATACATCTCTAGATATTGGATTAACTCCTAACTTAAACCTTTGGATATTGTCTGACATTTGTTAGATCTAAATAATTTTGTTAAAATATACTGTTAAGCTTGAGTGCATTAGATGTATATAAAATTATTTTCGGTTTTTTACATCATTTTATGAGACTAGAGAGTAATTTCTTTGGGAATTTTAGTTGAATGAAATTAGTGTAGTGAAGATGTGGAAGGATACAAATTATCAGATTAGATTTTGGGATTGGTCACATAATTTGGCGATTCTTCTCTCAGTTTATGCATCTTGTTTTAGAAAAATTGCAGAAAGAAGCCTTTGAAGTACTACAATAAATGTTGGCTTTACCATGTTCCCATTAGTGAGTTTTCCTCACAAATAGAAATCCAAGTAATATATGTAAAGAGCATCCTATAGGAGTAGATGTAACCTATCAGTACAAGGGTTGAGAACAAAAATACACTTTACGCTATACGCGACATGAATATGAACATTAATGTAGACCTTATTAGAAGACTCTTAAAATCCATTCGTCAGACTGAAATGGGCTATTGGCCCCTCAATTTATCATATTAAATTTGAACATTTTATTGTCACAAGTTTTGTTTGAAGAAGTTTATTCAAAGTTCCAATGTTCTAAAATGTTTACTGAATAAACAAGGTATGTTGCTGTCAAAAGTTCATGTTAATATCATAGCCTTCAGAGTCCGGTATTATTTGCAAGTCGGCTATCTGAACTTGTGAGCCATGTTTGAGCTGAAGGTGGGCTCTATGGACCTGGACCTCAATCAACTGTTAACTGAAACAGTGGCTGAAGGACAAGGGACAGAGTGGGCTGTGGGTAGTTCTAGGTTCATTTACAACTAGGTAAAAACCAAAACAAGAGAAAGGAAAAAGAACCAGATGTTAGCTGGTGAAGTGTCAACCTTGGTGCAATGCTAAAACCTGAGGACCCTCTAATGTGTATATGAATGTACATGGATATAGCAATTAAACCTTGGAATATTTTACCTTGCAACTCTTTGTTAGTATGATTTTGTTTTTTCAAAGTTTGTCATCTATAAGAAATGAACCGATACAATACAATGACTAATTTTTTTTTAGTATATTTTTGCATGAACCGATACAATACAATGACTTCAAGGCACATGTTATAGTCGAACTATTTTTTTTAAATCTGCAAGATGCAACTCCACAAATTAAAGTTGTTGAGTCAGCATCATTTCAGTAACTTGTAACTTCACAAGTTTAAAGAAGCAACCTATAACTTCATAGAAACTATGCTTTAAAATGAAGTGCATGAATGATAATTATGATGGTAATTTCTTAATAATTTTATATGCCAAAGCACTAATTTATAAATATTAGCTTGCTGGTTTTTTAGGTGGTTTGGAGCAAACTATGATGGAAATCTTAACTTCAATTGTGATGTATATGGAAATTTGAACTTAAATTCAAAAGCTTAGTTTGCCAAAAAAAATTAGTTTCTGATGATGATGATGTACTACGACTAGATTGTATATGATTTACATGTCGGTCTACTTTTGTGCTTGTAAATATGTCATTGGAGTTCCTTATTCTATTTGCTTAAACCTTTCACACAAACTTTCTGATGACATGACATTTATGATTTTTTTCCACTATAGTAGGATCGTTGCATGAGATTTAATTCTCTGATTCTAATCTGCCATAATTTTGGCTAAGTTTAGAAGCATCTAGTCATCCTGCTTCAGTCTTTTTGGGGAGAAGCCATAACAACAAATCATAAATAGTAAGTAACCTCAAATTAAATATAGTGTTACCAAAATTTATAAAATCTCATCTTAAATAAATTGATGGCTAAAATTTCTGGAGCATAATGTATCACTACATCAGCTGCCATATCCCACACGAAGAGCGCCAAAGAGAAAGTATGCCCAAAATTTCAATTCATCTAATGTCCAACTCTGTTCCACCTACAGGGATATAATGGTCTTTATAGTAGCAACTGAGGAAACATAATGATCTGATTTCCATAGGGATTTCTCTAGGGCTGATGGAGCTATCTTTCTTCTCACATGCAGGATTTGGTGGATTTGTAGATTGCACTTATGCAAGATCGTTGCAATTTGATTAGAAAGAATGAGTAACTATTAGCTAGCAATTTCCAAATGTAGTAATGCCAGAGGACAATATCTCTGCAAGCACTTATGCAAAATTTTTAACAGAAGCACATGGGAGATACTCATGAAATTCCCTTCCCAAGCTGTCAGCGGCAATATTCTGCTGGAAAAAAAATTTGAATAGCAACAAGAATAATTGATGGTCCTTAATGCATTTTGATAGAGTTGGGTTTGACTTTATACTGAACTTTCATGAGCAGGAAGTAGTGTGGAAGTAGGATTCTTTGGTTGCAGGAATTGCAATAATGAGGCATAAAGATGATCCACGTTTTTTAAGTGGAAAGGTTGAGTTTGAAGTTAATCCAGTCCATCCTCCATAAATAGTAATGACACGTGAAAGCTGATCAGCAACTTCAAAAGTGAAGATGGTTTTGAATAGCTGATACCTTGGAGAAGAAAGCAAAATGCAAGCATTGCAAAACGTACATATAGGAATTGACATGCAGCAAGGCTGCTACAACTCTTTGGGGGAGAAGTGATTGGGTTGCTTGCTTGCTTGCTAAATTATGGAAGATCATTAACTAGAGTGACTATCTGTAAATATTTGTTTTTTTATTTGTTGTTTGGGTGCTGCTTGCCCATTTTGCTGTAAAAGAGTTGCGGTATGTCCATGAAGAACATTATTTATAAATAAAGACTTTTTTCATCATGGTATTTTGTTATTTGGATCTTGATGATTTATGGAAAGTTCATTTGGGTATCATTAAAATGGAAGTGGATATGATACTCCTATCTATTTTGTGCATGAAGGTTGTCATCAAAAGTGAGTTAGCCATAAACCATTCCTTTGCTGGTCCTCGTACGAAGTATCAGCATCATCAGGTTACTGCTCTCAATACATATGCATACGACATGTTGGCTTATGCCTAATGTCATATTCATTATGTTTACATACTAGTTTAAAGAGTACATGATAATGTCATATTCATTATATTTACATATTAGTTTAAAGAGTACTATCATGATTAAACAGTATGCAGGACGTCTTAGGAATGGACATCTAGACTTTCTACAGGATTAGGACACCTCAAATAACCTTTCTATGATCTTATGATGAAGAACTGCTTACAGCATGGTCACATGTTTGATTCTAATAGTTTCACTGCACACTGTGAAGTACTGCAAAGTTGTTGGAAGTTTTTTGACGATTAGCAATTTGCGTCCAGACACCACCCCTTAATAGTGAGAGTCTGATAGTAACCAGAAGGCAAATGATCTTTGAATACGGAAATATACCTATCTAGAAAGCCTATTTTTGGCAATAAATCTGTGATGTTCACATGCATGTCAAAGTTACATTAGTATCTTGTGCAGAGTTTGCTTTGAAGCTAGGTGTTTGACCAGTGAATCCTTAATTATGGGCGACCATATCATTAGACTAGGAGTTTATAACTTGCACATGTTGAAGATGGCAAGGTGATGAATACTGGAAACATTCTAACAAGTCTTTTGAGATTTCTAAAGTTGTCTAGGATACTATTCTTGAGAAGATGAACCTCATTTTTGCCAAATGAAAGAAGAGGAAGAGAACAAGAGATTATTGGCTTTCTAATAGAAGATTTGAGTTAGCAACGATGGCAACGTATAATGTGGCTGACTTGTGGAGGAGGATAAGGCTGTGAATAATCAGATACTGGCTAGATACTTCTGTCTATGTCCAATCTGACATGAGTAATTAGTGTAGATTCTGCCTATAACTTGGATTTGGCCAACGTGGAGAATGGCAACAACACATTAAGCCTTGAAAGTTATAGTTTAAGTATGATATTCACATTATGCTCTCTTTTCTCTTGCATTGTTTCAATCAGTAGGAAGTCACAAAAGCTAAGTGAAATCACAGTTAAGAGTAGAGGTTCCGCATCAAAATCTCTCTCAAAGATTTTCAACCGGGAGAGTTCCTACACTTTCCCTGTGTCTAGTCTGTGGGCCTTTTCCATCTTCAAAAGCACTACCTTCTGGGTTTAGGAATGCTTCTCCTGTTAGATGGGGCTGATCGGCCAATCCCTAAATTGTTCAAATCTGTGTATTATGTAGCGCTTGAACGCTATCTATCACAATATGATGCATGACTTTATGGAGGTGTAAATAGCAACTATATGACAAATATAGACCCAATATGCATGTCTTGTGAGAAATGAATGTTTAAGTAGAGAAGAAACAGGCTCTTGCACACCACCAAACTGTAAGAAGACTGATTTGGGCGGGGTTTGTCATTTTTTGAACTGTCAAAATTGTCTTTTCAATCTGTCACTTTTGAAATTTCTGAACCGCGCCTGCATGACTTGGAAGTTCTATCATGCCTAAAATTGTGTCCTGAGAGAAAGAAACATATTGCTATATTGTCACGCCTCGGGCCTACGGACCCGTTGGCGCGTGCAAACCGTGGGATCCATCAAGAGCAACTCGATGTTGACTTAAATCCACCGTCAAAATGCTAGCACTAGTTGTCCTTGGGCATTGGACTTCTCTATTTAAGCCACTAACATTTCTTCACACTCGTTCATATGGGACTAAAGTGAGGGTGTCACAATCACCCCACCTTAAAAAGACAGACGTCCTCGTCGTCACGACATGACAATTGGCACATCCCAGTGTCACTTGTCAGGTGATGTGGACTCTAGAGGTGGCTCCCATCGCATCCACTTAGTGTAGCACTTAGCCCCGTATAGCACTTAGCTCCACACTTTTTGTTGGCTAACCTGACTCTGATACCATTTTGTCACGCCCCGGGCTCACGGGCCCGTTGGCGCGTGCAACCCGTGGGACCCGCCAAGAGCAACTCGATATTGGCTTAAAATCCACCGCAAAAATGCTAGCACTAGTTGTCCTTGGGCCTTGAGTTTCTCTATTAAGCCACTAACATTTCTTCACACTAGTTCATGTGGGACTAAAATGGGGGTGTCACATATATTACCAGATTTATGCCCTAGATATATTAATTTAACTGTAAGTCTTGTCCTGTAGGGTTAGAAGAATTCGCCTATCCATTCAGTTCTAGCACAATTCAACTTTCCAGTAATGGATCAGGAAATCAAAACTGTTATACACGGGAACCACCAAAACTCCCTGATTTTACCTTTTGTGTCCTACTGCTCATTCTAGGCTGTTGATAACTAGCTCCAAGAAATCAAAGCTCCCTTGTTTGGTATAGCTCTAGGTCCAGATCGAAGGTAAGCATAGCAGCGAAGCATATATTTTTCAATGCGGTATTCGGTGGTACTGATATTTGTTAGGATATTTATTCTTTGTCCTTTTTGTGCATAATCAGTGGTCAAGTTACTTTCCCCTCATTCTTTTTTATATATGTGGCTTTCACCTGTTAAATATGGTGACTTTAGTGAATAATTTGAGGTCACATATTGTATTATTGTGACCTTGCCTACACTCAAGCATCTGGTTTTACGTCTAAGAACTGTCAGAGTTAGATATATATTTCAATTTTAGAAGTTTACTTATGCAATTTTTGGTTATGAAACCTGAAAGTTGGTAATGTTGTTTTCTGAATTCTTGCAGAGTAATCCTTGATGATCTGAAAGAAAAACCACAGATAGAAGGCATTCGTAGACTCCTGAAAATACATCAACCCTTAAGTCTTTTCAACATTGGTGGCTCTGTTAGAAAAAAGAAAATGACAGAAAATTTGAGGAGACGGACATCGAAGTGGGATATGCTGGCAGACCCCCACATTCCTATTCAACAAGCTGAAACTCCTATAAAAGCCGATAATGGTGGTGTACCAGGCCTAGAATGGAATTCTTCAAAAGTGGATGCCAACGCTTCCTCTCTGCCATCTGAATTGAAATCTGATTCTGCTAAGACAAATAATGAAGACTATGAAGAAAATAAATTTGCAGGATGGTTACATACGGAAGATGGCAATGTTGGATTAGCTAACACCCACTCTCGAAGTCCTCATTTTCCAAAGCTCCCTGACATGGATGCTGATGATGGAAATAATACAAAGAATTCATACAGGAAATCATTGTCTGTGAACTACACTACTGAGAAGGACCAGGATTTCAACAGAACAGGAGACAGATGGAATCAATTACTTGAGCAGAATCATCGTGAAAGCCTATCTCCATCTCATGATGCAAAGAGGGAAGATGACATTGTTAGATTATCTAACACGCGCTCTCCAAGTCCTCATTTTCCAAATATACCTGACATTTATGCTGGTGGTGGAGATTATTTGAAACATTCATACAAAGAACCATCATCTGTGAATCACACTACTGCAAAGGATGAGGATTTAAACAGAACAGGAGACAGATGGAATAAATCTCTCGAGGAGAATCATCATGAAAGCCTATCTCCATCCCGTGATGCAAAGAGGAAAAGGAGTCCTATCTCACCAAAAAGAAGCTGGGGCAGGTCATACAGGTATTTTATTTTAACATTGTGCTAAAAGACTCAAGCTTCAATTATGATGATACTCCTTGTTGGCATACTCATTTATGTGGGGAACAAGTTGTTGGTATTGCATCTTTTTTTCTTTCATCGCAAAGCGCCACGTCCTTGCGGGTCTGGCTTCTTCGTTATATGTTGTCAGTTTTTAAAGCAAATGAACTTCTATATCCAGAGTATTAATTATCAATGTTTAAAGGTGGTTCACTTCCATATCTAGGGTGCTGACAATTTTTAAACATTTGTGATCAATTTTCATTGGAAAATAATTTATCCGCAGATTTCGCTATATGCCCCAAATGGAATTAGTATTTATGTGAAATCTTTGTCAAGTCCTTTCTCCAGAAGAGAGAAAAGAAGCTTGATGAACATAAATCAATGGGGGAAAATGATCTGTGAGGAGAACAAAAATCTTGGCATCCATCATCAGACCAGTCCAATGGGCCTAACACATTAAAGTTACTGTACTTCAACACCACATGCACATTTTACACGTGTCTGCCAATATTGTGTGCAGAAAAGCAGTCTCCAGTTTGGTTAATCTTGCGTGATGTTTGGTTACAACATTCAGGAGCAGAAGCAGAAGCAGGAGCAGGAGCAGGAAGAGGAGCAGGAGCAGAAGTTGGAGTAGGAGCCGGAGCCCTTCCTATAGTTATAAGCGGGGACCTGGGAGGTGAGCAAAGCCAGCTTCTCAGCTCCTTCTCTGTTCATTTATGAAATGTCCCATTTTTTACATTTTCTTTGTTCTTTTCCAACTCGTCACATACTAGGGATTTAGCAATCTAAAGTTCCAATGAAGACTAGAACACAAACAGACAATATCCTAGTAGTTTTGATTCTACACCTGTCTAATGTTTTTGATGTAACATACAGGAGTAAAAGCAGGAGCAGGAGCCCCTATGGTTCAAGGCGAGGCCCTGAGAGGTGGCCGGGAAGAGGTGGAATGGGTAGTGGGCACCCCGTACCATGTAGAGATTTTGCAGCAGGACGGTGCCAAAGGGGCAGCGATTGCAGGTTCCTTCATGAGGATAGTAGTCGAAGGCAACCCAACAGATATTATGACAGTGGCATATCAGACGGTAGAGAAAGCAGAGCTGAGAGAGGACGGATAAATGTCAGAGAGCCTCAGAATTATCCACGTGATAGATTCTCCAGGAGTGACAGCCGTACTACTAGGTGTTATGATTTCATGATGGGTAGATGCCGTAGAGGCTCAGAGTGCCGGTATGCTCATCACGAAGCCTCCCATGACAGAGAACGGGATGTAAGAGATGAACCCAGAGCACGAACTCATGATAGAAGGGATGATGAGAGGCTTGATCCTCCTCATAGGCCAGTCACTGATACACCCTGCAAGTTCTTTGCTGAAGGTTGCTGTCGCCGTGGCGAAGGTTGCAGGTTTTCTCATCATGGTGTCGAGGCACATGATGATACAAGCTATAGTATGGATATTGATGTTAGAAATTCATCACGGAATAATCGGAATCAGGAAGATCATTCTGCTGTGATTGAGATAACCAAGTCTTCCAAGTGGATGGGTAATGACAATTGTTCTAAGGTGGAGGATTCCAAGTCAAAACCTCAGCATTCTCAAACTCAATTTACTGCAAGCAATATACATCAAAATCAACCACAAAAAGCTAGCAATCCGCTTCCCGTGGCTTCTATTCCTGGACAGAATCTTGGACAAGTTGGGCAAAACCAGTATAGTTCTGGTCAGCCTATACAAGCACAGGGGTTCATTCCAAATGTCCCATTTCAGCAGTTACTTCCTCCAATGCCTTTAAATGTGCAAATGCAACAAGCTGCCTTTTCTACGCCTCAAAATGTCCAGGGGGGTCAATTCATTGTTCCTCAAGCCCCTCCAAATTTTAGTGTTCCCATGCAGAATTTGCCAGTTCTTCCGCCATCTAACATCACAATGGGCCAACAGAACTACAACCTCCCACTGCCTCCTCATACTGGACAGAATCAACAGAACTTTAATCTCATCGGGCAAATTCAGCAGAATCTCCCTTTAGCTCCCCTCAGTGGACGAAACCAACTAAACTTGAACTTTAGTGGGCAGAATCAGCATGTGGCCTCTCAATCTCTGAGCCCAGAAAACTTCAACTCAAATGAACAACTGATCAAAAGAGCAGATACGTCAGAACAACCTTCACAACTAAATTCTGATGCTTCCATCACCCAGAAGGTCGTGACGAGTGAGCAGGCTGCTCAAATAACAAACCTTTCAGCATCTTTAGCTCATTTCTTTGGGGGCACTGGTGGTCTGAAGCCCCAAATTTCTACTGGGATGTTACCACTTGTTCAGCCTAATCAAGGTTCTTTTACCAATCCAATATCTGGCAACATGGAGCTAGTGGATCAAGACACCAGCAATCTGCCTGCTGATGTTGAGCAAAAGGGCCATGCAGTTGAGGAGGGAGTAACCAATACTAATAGCACAATTCCTCCTATCAAAAGTGTTGATGTGGAGATAGAAGTGATGCAAGGAATTGTGGATACTGCTGCCAAAGAAGTGAATGAAGCTGAGGCTGTCCATAACAAGAAAGAAAGGGTTGATGATATAGAGGCTGAAGTTCAGAAAGATGGAGAGAGTAAACAAAGCAAAGAAGCGAAGGGAATGCGAATGTTTAAGTGTGCCCTTGTGGAGTTTGTGAAGGAAGTACTGAAGCCTAGTTGGAAGGAAGGACACTTGAGCAAGGAAGCTCACAAGACCATTGTCAAGAAAGCAGTAGAGAAGGTGACTGGTGCAATGCAGAGTCAGAACATTCCTCAGACTCAAGAGAAAATTGACATTTATCTGGCACACTCTAAAGCAAAGCTCACAAAACTTGTACAGGTAAGTGTTATCTACTTTTTTTTTCAGCCTGCTTCCTAGTTATGTTCTAGTTTGGATCTGTAACTGAATTATTCTCCTAGCAACAATTTATATTCTAATTTCCAGCAGAGAATTTTTTATCCCACTATTTTTTTCAGGTAACTAGTGAGTTTTCCCGTGAAGGGTCTGGGAATTTTTACTGCTGTTATTAGACTGATTATATACTCCAACTGATATCTTTTGATCTGAAGATGCAATCGATAAATCTTCCTCTTTTTTCCCCCCTTCCATTTGAGAATTGATTTTCCAGAAAAAGGGTAGTAAGGGTTGGAAGTTCAACCGAACTTACAGAACCCACTTCTAACTCATCTCCAAGTTTTGCCTCAGATTGCCCATTATTGTTACATCAAAGCTACACGCACAATCGAACGCGTAAGATATTGAAATTAAGAAGTTGGAAACAAAATAATTCGTTTAGTTTGCAGGAGGGTGTACAATCATGAAGGCAATAAAAGGAAATGAGAAGGCTGTAGGTTGACTCGTTGATGCTAGAGAAATATCATTAATTGACTGTTTTCCGATTTAGTATGTAATAAGTATTCACGGGATATCAAATTATGTAAACCTTTTGGTAGCACATCCCTACTTTCTTCTGCTCAATATGAAAATTTCTCATATTCATTTTTTACGGGCTCATATTCCATTTTATCATTTGATATATAGGATTTGTTTCCAAACTATTGGAGCACGAAGATATTTGTTAACTAATCCATCTGGATGTTTTTACTTATTCTTTAATTTTTTATTTTACTCATGTAGTGTCCTCGATATTACTTGTTGTTGCCTGTTTTATTTTTATTAGCTGTCTGTTTTTCTTAAACACTTGTTTGAAGTAGAATATTTAGATTCTAAATGTCAATCATTTCAAAATTGATATATTTTTGTTTAATTCTAATTGATATTTGTCACAAATTTGCCAAACCATTTGTTATGATATCTGAGTAGCTGATTTTTGTAACTTGGTTCTTGCTTGCATTTCGCATCTAATTATACTGGTTGGACTTGCTGGTTTGTGGGAAATGTTTTCAGTTGTCGATATTCTTGGTAATGATTAAATTTTCTCTTTTATGCAGGCATATGTTGACAAATATGTGAAGGGCTGAGTCAGCTTTTGAATCTGTGCATGCTGATTATCAATGCCTTGCCATGACAAAGCAGTGTTGTGCTTCAAACCTTCATTGTCTTGTAAATTTTTTGGCTGCACATTGTACTTGACTTAGGGGGTGTTTGGCAATTTGAAAGTGAATTTAAAATATGTAAGTTACTTTTTTTTACAAATGACTTTTACATCCATGTCAGCACGCAAGTGAAATACAGTGTTTGTTTGAAAAATTAAATTATTATCGAAAGTGCAATGTGAAGATGACGTGGCAAATTAAGATTAATTAGAAAATATAATTAAAATCATTTAATTAAATTACTTACCTTTTTGTCACTTTCATGTGACTTCACCACTTTTTTAGGGGAAGTCAAAATTGCATTAAATCTTATGTGGCAACTTTCTTACATCTCACTTTCATAACCACTTACATGAAAACAAACACCTTAATTGTTAAATGAAAGTAACTTTCTCACTTTCATCTTTCACTTGCATGCAAACAAACACCCCCTTAGTGTTTCTCCTATGAATTTGAATATTTTGTTAGTATAGCATTGTCTTCCTGGTGTGCAACATAAATTAGATAGCATTTTGGTAAAGGTCTTATCCCTTGTTGATATGCTGTTATCTCCGACATCTTTATATGTTAAGACTTATGGTGCCTGAGCCATTTTTGACTGCAGTTATAAGTATGGACAGTTCTGTAACGATTCTATGGTGATCAGCTGTTAGCTCTTGTGGCAATTGCGGGTGGTGTTATTTTGCAGGTATAATGTACTTTAGTTACAAAATCCGAGCTGTATATGTTCGGCTTAATTCAGTGTAACTAGTAGATTGACGCGATTTGTACATAGGTGTTGGTTTGCGGAGTGACGCAGTAATGCTTTTAGTTAATGTATTGCTGACGAAATTGCAGTTTGATTTTTGTTCCTTTCATTCTTTTCTCAGCAGCGTAATATTTATTCTTGTGCTTGAGCATGTAAGTAATGGATATTGCAAGACACCTTGATCAGTTTTTGACAAATAAGCATCTACGCACAATAGATAAGTTTGTTCTTCAGAAAGTTACAAGCCGAATACCTGTGCATCTCAAAGCTCCTTTAAAAGAAGATGAAAATTTATGACTTTAACACGGTAAATACAATCAATATGCAATATTCTTCCAGAAATCTAATACAAGGCAATTAGTTCATGGACAATTGCCAGAAATCAGAAACACTGTTCGTTGGAAATCTCAACCACCTTAATTCACAAAGCAAAATTGCTTCATTTTGTAGACGAAACATCATTCTGCACCATATAAATTAATCGATCTTCGTTTGTAGATCTTCGTTTGTAGACCGTCTTCAGTTTATTTCTATTCAGCCAGCATCACCGACACAAGAGTTGTACTGATTCATATCTTGACTATCCTTGCCCCTCCAGATTACAATCTGACTATCTTTAAACAGAAGAGGAACGCAAGGCACCATCTTGACTATCCTTGCCCCTCCAGATTACAATCTGACTATCTTTAAACAGAAGAGGAACGCAAGGCACCAAATCCTGCAACGAGTTAAAAAGCGATTACAATCTGACTATCTTTAAACAGAAGAGGAACGCAAGGCACCAAATCCTGCAACGAGTTAAAAAGCCGACAGAAGCTGAGAATTGAAAAGAATAGAATGTCCATACAAGTATCTTTTCTATTGAAAACTTCAGTTGCTAACAAAACAAATACCGCCGTAAAAAAGATTAAATGTGGACATAACACTTCTAGTTCTATTGTTGCAGATAGAACCCCTAAGCGAACTTTTTTATAGAACCCCTAAGCGAACTTTTTTTTCCTAACCCTTTGAAGAGTAAAAATAAAATAAAAAATCACCCTGGGGATCTATCTGAACTTGGACAATGGTACTGGGTGGTCTATCCGCGCCAACATAACTATAGGGAGCCTGTCCACAATTGGGCTATATTACAGGAGGTCTATCCACAATTAACCCTAAAGAAAAACTCAGGAACGGAACGAATAACCACTAAAATTGTCATATGTGAACAGTATACGTACTCTGAGCTTCACGCCAATTTTCTTGCAGTCACTAGTTTCAACATGGGAACAGTCTAGTTTTACAACCTCCACTGATTCGAAGGCCTCCCTGACTCTCTGCACCACATTGACATATACACCATTCCTTGCTACATGGATAAAAAAAAAAAGAACCAAATTTTGTCAATCAAGGAGACGAATAAAGCAGCTGACTAGGATACTGACAATGTTATTGTAGGAGAACTTTTGGAGGCTAAACGGCGAAGGAGTTATTTAAGAATATATAACAGCATGCATCAGAGAAACTTACTAAGCTTCATCAAAGCTGGAGAGTTTAAGCCTCTATTTCTCAATTCCTTTGTCTCCTCAAAGGTCAGACCAGCAGCTACATTTTTAACCAGCCTTGGATAAATTGGTGCCAATGGTTTCCATAGCATCAAAGGAATGACAGGCCTTTGTTTAGAATCATAGTTTCGACCACGATACAAAAGTATAATATTAATTTTCCGATAAATGATTTTCCCACCTGTTTTATCCTGACAACGAGTCACATATTATAAGAACTAGGCTCCAGTAGTGTAAGCGATGGATAGGAAACATTTACAGGATATAAAATCTTCATATACCCTGTATTGCTACCTCGAGGTGGAAGCAAATGTTGTCCATGTCAAGAGTTGGTACTCCAAGACACTTAATTCTCACGGCTTCAGCTCTCCTCCAGTGGTTGTGGATATCATCTAGCAAGTTATGTGTTACGCCACCCTTCCCTGAAATTGAGCATAATTTGGAACAATAATTTTTCACTGAAGTCTATGTTTGAGATAAATAATCAAAACTAGCAAATTAAAAAACAACGCTTATAAATTAGCCTGCCCAAGAGGAAAATAAAGGCATGAGTTAC